AATAAAGAGATGGTATGGAATCATTATTAATTTTGGGCCCTTCATGTTAGCTAATATGTTTAAGCCTAAGTCAAGATAGAAACTGACCCAGATTATTAGCATGTTTCAGTGAATAATATTTTAAAATAATTCAACACTGACACATAATACTATAGTATTCCACTTAGATATAAAAAATATGATAAAAGAAGTCTCATGTTCTTATCCTGGCATGGTGGCTCACACCTGTAATCCTAGGACTTTGGGAAACCAAGGGCGGGGGGGATCCTTGATGCCAAGAGTTTGAAACCAGACTGGACAATATAGTGACACCTCTCTCTACAGAAAATTTAAAAACTAGCTGGGCGTTGCCGCAAGCACCTGTAGTCCCAGCTACTGGGGAGGCTGAGGTGGGAGAATTGCTTTTCCCAGGAGTTCCAGGCTACAATGAGCTATGATCACATCACTGCACCCCAGCCTGGGTGATACAGTGAGACCCTGTCTCTTAAACAAACAAACAAAAAGTAATCCCAGAACTCTAATGATCTTATATGTTATAGGACTTTAAAAAATTAGCCAGGCATGGTGGCGCATACCTGTAGCCCCAGCTGCTTGGAAGGCTGAGGCACGAGAATCTCTTGAGCCTGGGAGGCGGAGGTTGCCCTGGATGATAGAGCGAAACTCTGTCTCAAAATAAGTAAATAAATGAATGAAAGTATACCGAAAGTTTTAACTTAACAAATTTTATTTACGCCTCGCATTGATGAAGTGATAAGAACAGATAAGTAATACTAATACACATATAAGATATTTTACAATTTTTTTTTAAATTAGACCCTTATGATATACAAAGGAATTTAATTTTTTTCTTTTCTTTTTAGATGAAGTCTCGCTCTGTCACCAGGCTGGAGTGCAGTGGTGCGATCTTGGCTCGCTGCAACTTCTGCCTCCTGGGTTCAAGCGATTCTCCTGCCTCAGCCTCCCGAGCAGGGACTACAGACATGCGCCACCACGCCCGGCTAATTTTTTGTATTTTTAGTAGAGACGGGGTTTCACCATGTTGGCCAGGATGGTCTCAATCTCTTGACCTCGTGATCCACCCGCCTCGGCTTCCCAAAGTGCTGGCGTTACAGTTGTGAACCACCGCGCTCGGCTGCAAAGAGATTTAAATCTATCAATTTTATCTTAATGCAAAATTTTTGTCATTTGTGATATTTTCCAATAGCTTATCTGAATTCCTTAGAATCAGATTTCAAAATAAAGTTTCAAAGTCAGGTTTCTTTGAAATTACAATTCAAAAATATTTAGATTTTAGAAAGATAATGTGGTAAATATACTGCCTATTATGGAATATCCCTAGTGGCAAATCATATGAATAATCACATGAACTGGGATCAATAAGACTATAAATACCCTTGGTCGGGTGCGGTGGTTCACACCTATAATCCTAGCACTTGGGGAGGTTGAGGCTGGCGGATCACGAGGTCAGGAGATCGAGACCATCCTGGCTAACACGGTGAAACTCTGTCTCTACTAAAAATACAAAAAATTAGCCGGGCGTGATGACAGGCGCATGTAGTCCCAGCTCCTCGGGAGGCTGAGGCAGGAGAATGGCCTGAACCCAGGAGGTGCAGCTTGCAGTGAGCGGAGATCGCGCCACTGCACTCTAGCCTGGGCGACAGAGGGAGACTACGTCTCAAAAAAAAAAAAAAAAAAAAAAAAAAAAAATTATCTGGATGTGGGCAGGTGCCTGTCATCCCTGCTACACGGGAGGCTGAGGCAAGAGAATTACTTGAACCCAAAAGCTGGAGGTTGCAGTGAGCCGAGATCGCACCATTGCACTCCAGCCCAGGCAACAGAGCAAAAGCTCCAAGCTCCGTTTCAAAAAAAGAGACTATAAATATCCCTACATCAGCATAGATCAGATTTTTACCAAACTTACGTTTAGGTATTCATAACTGTTGGATTTTGTAATTCCCCATGAAGAATTGTAGATCTGCATATATTTTCAAATATTAATAGTTAGAATTATGTAGTTTATAATTTATAAGTCCAATTTTTGGTTATTTTCATTATTAATACTTTTCCATTCCTCTACCCTTTCCGAAAGACAATACAATACGTTTCTTTTCTTTTTTCTTTCCTTTTTATTTTATTTTATTTTATTTTATTTTATTTTTTTTGAGAAGGAGTCTTGCTCTGCCCCCAGGCTAGAGTGCAGTGGCACGATCTCTACTCAGTGCAACCACCAGCTCCCAGGTTCAAGCAATTCTCCTGCCTCAGCCTACTAAGTAGCTGGGACTACAGGTGTATGCCACCATGCCCAGCTAATTTTCATATTTTTAGTAAACATGGGATTTCATCTTGTTGGCCAGGCTGATCTAGAACTCCTGACCTCAAGTGATTTACCTGCTTCAGCTTCCCAGAGTGCTGGCATTACAGGTGTGAGTCACCGCACCCGGTCAAGAATACAATATGTTTCTAAGTTGATAGTCTATCGTTTATCCACGTTTCTATGATGAACTCAAGTAATTTCTAATTACTTCCTATTAGAAAGAATGCTGCTCCAAATAATTTCATTTATGTATATTTTTGTTCATTTGAACAATTTCCTTAGAATAAATTCCAAAGCATAAGCCACTAGATCAAAGAGAATTAAATCATTTTATTTTTAAAAACATATTGGCAGATTTCTTCCAGAAAGAACTATGCTAATTTACAATGTCCCCAGAAAAATATTAGTATGCTTTTTCGGTAGTATTATTAACTGGACCATCGGTATTCCTTTCTTATGCCCATTTAATACTGTAGGATGGTTCATTTACTCTTCTTTATATTAGCATTTCTTTAATTACTACTAGTGAAAAGAATACAGTCCCATATATACACGTATGTGTTAACTGCGCATTCATTTTCTTTGTCCTTTTGTTGATCAAGGTCTTAGTGGTGGTCATGTATATTTGAATATGTTTTTAGTTATTAGCTCTTCATCATGTTATAGTTATTTTGGTCATTTTACTGATGCATAATTGGTAAGAATCAATTTCACTAGGGATAAAAGTCAGAAGAACAGAAATTGTGAGTTGCTTTGTAAAGATTCAGGGACCTTCAAGGACCTCTGAACAGCCAAGGATAATCATTCCTATTTTTCATCTTCAATGGAAAAAAGAGCCCATTATACCTTTCTAGCCTATTCTGGAATAAATAATAATTAAATTTTATTTACTGTAAACTAACAAAGGAAACAGTGTAAGTTAATGAAATGTAGTTTCTACAACTTGTTAGACTTTTTATTTTTTATTTGTTATTTTTAGTTGGACTTGGTTTTTGAGACAGAATCTCACTCTGTCACCCAGTCTGGAGTGCAATGGCTTGATCTCAGCTCACTGCAACCTTTGCCTCCCAGGTTCAAGTGATTCTCCCTGCCTCAGCCTCCCTAGTAGCTGGGATTACAGGCGCACACCACCATGCCCGGCTATTTTTAGTAGAGACAGGGTTTTGCCATGTTGACCAGGCAAGTCTCCAACTCCTGACCTCAGGCCATCTGCCCGCTTTGACCTCCCAAAGTGCTGGGATTACAGGCTTGAGCCACCGCACCAAGCAACAAGCTAATTTTTGTGTGTTTAGTAGAGACCGGCCTTCACTTCATGTTGGCCAGACAGGTCTCGAACTAGACCTCAAGTGATCCACCGGGCTCGGCCTCCCAAAGTGCTGGGTTTACAGGCCAGAGACCCCGCGCCCGGCTGGCATTGATGTTACTTAAATTACAAAGTAACCGGTCAGGTGCGGCCGCTCACGCCTGTAATCCCAGCATTTTCAGAGGCCCAGGCAGGCGAATCACCTGAGGTCGCGAGTTCCTGAGACCAGCCTGACCAACATGGAAAAACCCCGTCTCTACTAAAAACTAAAAATACAAAATTAGCCGGCATGGTGGCACATGCCTGTATTCCCTGCTATTCAGGAGGCTGAGGCAGGAGAATCGCTTCAACCTGGGAGGCAGAGGTTGTTGCAGTGAGCCGAGATCGCACCATTGCACTGTAGCCTGGGCGACAAGAGCCAGACTCCGTCTCAAGAAATAAACATTACAGCCTGGCACGGTGGTTTATGCCTGTAGGCCCAGCACTTTGGGAGGCCCAGGCAGGCAGATCACTAGATCAGGATCAGCCCTAGGCTGAGCTGCAGCTGGCATTTGAACGTGGCAGCAGCGGTGGCAACCCAGTACCTGTCCGTGCCACCAGCAGCGGCGAACCCCACGGTCGGACACCGCCACTGCGCCTAAGTCAGGCGGTAGGACCTCAGCTGTGGGAGGGCGGGAACCTGCCGCAAAGCCTCATCGCATCAGCTATACAGGGCCCAGAGGTCGCGAGCTTGAGCTGCCAGCGCCGGCCAAGGAAGAGCAGAGCCCAGGGTGGAAGGGGGTGCACTCGGCGACCCTCAGCGGTCTGGTCCCAGCCCTGCAGCCTCCACTGTGGACTCAGGTGCAGCTCCCACCTGAACATGGCACGCGGCAGCAGGGGCTCCAACCCTGACCCTGTCAGCGCCACCAGTAGGGCAGATACTTGGGCCAGAAGCCTCCAGGGCGCCTAAATCAGGGGGTCGGTCCCCAGTTGCAGGAAGGTGGGAATCGACGCTCAGCGCCACCCTGGAGGCTGCACGGTGCCCAGCACCAGGGTCTAGCTCCTGGATCGCGGGTCGAGGAGGGGCCAGGGGCGGCTACGTCAAGCAGGCCGTGTTACAGGGCGCCCGCCACCTTCCGCTCCAAGGAGGCCTGCCAGCCCGGCAGTGCCTCAGCGGCAGGTGCCACCTGCACGCGGTGCCCAGTGGAACGCGGCTAGGGCGCGTGTCTCCTCAGCCTGTTGAGTTGCGCATGAGCCGCTGCCTAATGGCTCTGCTCAGCTTTTCTCCCAAGAGAGGCCGGAGTGTCTAAGAGCTTGGCGATACAGAAATTTTTACTGGTGTCGGGGCGGGTGCGGGAACTAAAGAAGGGCAAGTGGGAGCTGGGTGGGTGCTGGGGAAGGGCCAGCAGGAAGCGAGGGCGAGCGGTAGGGGCTGGGGAAGGGCGAGCGGGAGGCGCGGGTTCTCTCTAGCAGGGGGCTGCCACCATGAAGTGGCTCTCAGCTGTCGCTGGCAAGGGCGTGCGGGGCCCGGAGCGCCCGAGCGCTTTCAGCGAGCTGGTCTACACCAAGAACGACTCGTACATCATCCACTTCGGGGATCTCGGGAAGATCCATAAAGCTGCCTCCCTGGGCCAAGTCCAGAAGCTGGAGAGTATGACAGTAACGAAGAAAACCATCGACCTGAACAAAGGAGATGTGAAGAAGAGGTACCAGGCCCTGCCTAAACCGGGGCTGCAGGAGGAGGTGGTGGCTATGGGAGGATCGCCCCTTCAGAATGAGGGGCTGGGGGGCCTGGGGACAAGGGGAGCAGGTGGAGGAGTGGCGGGTGGAGGAGTGGCGGGCTGTGGGGCGGCCATCCTGGGCAGGACCCCCAGGCCTGGGATGGGGGCGCCCTGCAGGGCAGAGGGCCCAGGCCACCTTAAAATCAACTCCAAACTTTAGTTGCTTTCTTCTTCACTCCCACTTCCTCTCACAGAGCACTGTGTAGAGAATTTTAATGATTTAACTCACAAAATTAAGTACATACAGGGTTTTACTTTTAATGTACAGGTTTTAAAAGATAATGTTAGACACACTATGAAATGGTGCATAATGAAATAATTCCTATAATATATGAACTTCTTGGCTAAAAATTCTTTGGATAAAGTCCAATGTCCATTTTGATATCAATGAATGTCTATGTAAATATGTTCTTTGCTGAGGGACCCTAGAAGGAAACTTCGAGGTGGGAAGATGGCTTATGTTCTTGAATTTAATGAAGGAAGCGTCATGTTTTTCTCAGATCGCAACTCTCCTTTATTACAGTTTTCACACTCACAAGTAAAGTTATCAATGTTTAACACTGTTTTTTTAAGAAAAAATTGTATTAGTGTATTCATATCATTACTTTTACGTTGTAGGGTACATGTGCATCAACGTGCAGGTTCTGTAGATCGAAATTCTCGCATATACTTGTGCCATGCTAGGGTCGCCGCTGCCCCACTCTTGGGCAAACTCGCTCCAGCACCCACTCATAACCTCATCTTCCATTTACATAGGTATAACTTCCCAATGCACTCCCACTACGCCCTGGCCCCCCAACCTCGCCTCAGCTTGGAATGAATAGAGCCCCCAGTTGTTGTGTTGAGGTCCTCGCCCTTCTGTTTTGTCTCTAAAGTGATCTCTATTTGCTCTCGCTCTCCCCTCTTATCGACTGTGAGAACATGCGGTCTTTCGGTTTTCACTGTTCTTCGTTGTTGAGTTGTTTGCTAAGAATTGATGGGTTTCCAGGCTGTTTGCAATCACAGAATGTCTCTCCCTAATAGTGGACATCATTAGATCGCTTTTATTGGCTGACTAATATGTTTTCCATGTGTGTGTTTAATGTGCCACAAGTTTTCTTAAATGTTACCAATCTGTCAGCTGAGTGGTACATCTTCGGGTTTGATTCCAAGTTCTTTTTGTCATATTGTGACTAGTTGTATTGCATGTAAATTTGATGACGTGGTGCATAGTTGTCTTTATAGCGCAGCATAATTTAAAGAGTCCTGTTGTGTGTAGAGGTTTGTCCCAGGTATATCCTGTGTGAAATGGCTGGGTCCCCAATACCCCCTTCCGGGTACATCTAGTTCTAGATCCTTATAAGAATCGCCATACTGTTTTCCATAAAGGGATAATATCCGGGTGAACTCTAACAGGGAAAACTCAGATAATGAATTTCTACCAAGTACAACACAACAACCCCCACTCAAAACACCGGTTTGTGCGAGAAAGGATATGGAACAGACATTCTCAAAAGAAGACATTCATACAGCCAACAGGACCACATGAAAAAATGGCCTCATATCCACTGCGTTCATCACGCCAGAAAATGCAAATCAAAACCAAGGGAGTGGGTACTATCTCCACCTGTTAGAATGTGCTGGGATCGATTAAAATGTCTAGGATACCAACAGGTGCTGGGAGAGACTTGTGAGAGAATAGGAACACTTTTACACTGTTGGTGGGCGTTTTAACATTTTTAAAATTACACAGGCTTTTACTATTGTGATGACATTTTAAATATTTTGTAACGGAGTAGAAAAGTCCTGCCCTTCTAGACATCAAAATGTGCTATTAATTTGCACAAGATGGGCCGGGAGCAGTGGCTCACGCCTGTAATTCCAGCACTTCGGGTGGCTGAGGCGGGTGGATCATCTGAGGTCAGGAGTTCAAGACCAGCCTGGCCAATATGGTGAAACACCGTCTCTACAAAAATACAAAAATTAGCCGGGCCTGATGTCGGCTGCCTGTAATTCCAGCTACTCGGGAGGCTGAGGCGGGAGAATCACTTGAACCCGATAGGTGGAGTTTGCAGAGAGCCGAGATCTTGCCATTGCAATCCAGCCTAGGCGACAGAATGAGGCTCTGTCTAAAAAAACAAACAAACAAAAAATCACAAATTATTTGCTAACAGCTGAAAAGACAGGTAATTGAATACAACAGAATAGAAAATCCAGAAACACCCAAATATATGTAAGAATTTTGAACTTGATAATGATCACACTTTATACTAGTAGGAAAAGAATTAGTTTCATAAGTGAAATGCCTGCTTTTTGGAGAAAAATAGATTTTTATGGCACAAAATAAGTTCCTGATGGAATATAGATTAAAAATTTTTAATATACAAAAAGATAAAAATACCAGAAAAAACATGCCTATTTACACAGATACATTTTTATGTTGACAAAACCTTTCTAAGAAGCTCAGAAGCAAGCATTCTGAAGGGTAATTTAGTAAAACAAAAATTAAATTACGCTGCATATGTGAAAAAATAAAAGGCAGCATACTTGTAAATATTTACTACCCATGTATGTGTATGTGTGTATACACATTAGATTTAAAAATCTTTGTTTTATAGAGAATTCATTCAAATCAACAGAAAATCCTCTAATTTAAAATTGGGTAATTTAAATTAGTTATCTAAATTGTAGATCTAAAAAAAGTACTGGGCCTCTAATTTAAAACTGGGCAAAGTCCTGTTTTAAGATCTGCGAGTGACCTATGCACATAGGAAACAATATTTAGTGTTCCTGGTTAGAGAAGACATTTAAGTTAAAAGAGGAATCAAATACTGTTTTCTACCTACAAAGTTTGTGAGGATAAAAGGCAGTGACATTCATAGTACTCTTTAAAGTGTAAGTTTCGGGTGACTTTTCAAATAGACAATTTGATGGTAAGTACCATATTTAAAAATTGTATATGCCCATTAGTGGTCAATTCTATTACACAAAAATATTTTTAGAAAATAATGAAACATATCACAATTTCTTTTCTGAGCACTGCTTAAAATATCAATGTATTAAAAAGAATCCATTTAATGGTTTTTATAAATACATTTCAGTGAGTTTACAGCATGGGATAATATGTGACCACTCAAGGCAGAAACATATACAGAAGTATGTTAACATTTGAAAATGGATTTTGGTGTACCAAGTGAGGGTAAAATTCAGTTTGATTATACATACAGACTATGGTCTTGTGTTATCTGAAATTATGTCCAAAATATGATAAAATTTGTTATTTGAGGATGTTTGTTTTAATATAAAATGTTTTTCCTTTTTATTATTTTTGATTTCTGCATTGAACATGTACAATGCTAGTAGTAAAAGTTTATTATTAATGAAATAATTTTTGGGAAGAGCAGCAATATGTATTTTGCACAGATAAAGATAATTTCTCGCTTTATGTATTTTTTATGTGCATTAGTATATTCTGTGAACTTTTAGCATCTTCAGAAGAGAATCTTTTTATCTGTGCTTATTGATTTACATATACATTTTATTAAACACATATTTTTATTATACATAGATTTATTACTTATATGTCAGTAACTATAATCATTTTAGTGTAGTTGTATTATTAGAAAAATAAAATAGCAAATATAAGTGCTTTATTTATAGCAATTTTTTAAGATATTGAACATCCTAACTGTATTTATCCATTCTTTTAATCCATTTATCGCATGTAAGCTGAATGCCTATTATGTAGAAGATACATTCTATTAACTCTCAAGACCTTTTCATCCTTAAAAATTTCACATTTACCTGCTCGGCCTGAGCAAAGTGAGGGATTTAAAATTGGAGTATTAGGATTGAATCTCAATTGAAGCTTTTCCTCTCATCTTTCAAACGAAAACACTTCTGAAGTGAGAAACTAGTAAAAGATAACTACCAACCATGATATTGGAAATTTATAACAGCTCTAAATAGTAATATTAATCTTCAAAAACATCTAATTTGCATGCATTCTATAAATCTAAATATGAATTTCCATACATTCCGTAAATCTAAATAGGGAATAAAATGAGCCATGCCTATTTATTTGAATCCAAAGTTTTCTTTGGCTTGAAGTTTTTAAAATATTAAAGAAGCAGCTTGTTTTAACAATTTATTGTTTTTATTTCAACTCTCCTTTTGTGTAGTACTCTTAAAAGGTAAAATTTCTTTCATTGTTAATCCTGTGAGTAGGACTGCCATACATATATATGTATATACCATATTCCACTTCTTGGAAGGCACTGTGAATTGTGTGATGCCTCCTTATTTTATGCACCAATAAAAGATTGTTTAAATTTCTGCCAAACATAGTGGTAATAAATAATGAATTATAAGTGGCATTTCAATCAGAAATGTTAAAATATGAGAAATTGAGCATCTTAGAATCTTTAAAATACTGTGTTACCTCTAACTTTTAAAACACACCACAAAGTGGGCATAATTGCACCATTTTACTTAAAATGTTTTCTTTGTTAAGTAGTAGTAATAATTATAATATCTAACAATTACTGAGCTGTTACACGTACTAGGAACTCTCCCAAATACTTTGCGTAGATTCTCATTGAGGCATCACAGTGATGTCCTGAGATAACTACTGTATTCATCTTCATTTGATTGATGAGAAAATTGAGGTGCAGAAAGTTTAAGTGACAGCTAGAAAGTGAAAGATCTTAAAGTAATATTCAAGCTCAAGTTGAACTGAATCCAAAGGTCAAATTCTTTGTATTCAAACAGGCCACTCTTTCGTTAATGTAGTGAGCAAAAAGAGTGAATGAACATTGTACTTTCTTCAGGAGAATATTAAATATTTGTTTTGAAGGCAGAGAAAGAGCCTGGTATTTAATGTTGACAATTACATAAATCATTGTATGTTTTGAGACAGTGGACTAAACTTTGCCAACACGTCCTCTCACTCTCATAGGACTGCTCTACACTGGGCCTGTGTCAACGGCCATGCGGAAGTAGTAACATTTCTGGTAGACAGAAAGTGCCGACTTGATGTCCTTGATGGCGAAAACAGGACACCTCTGATGAAGGTAAATAGTAGTCAATTTTTTTCAGTAGAAGATGGATTTGGTTCAAATACACAGAATAAAAATGAATTTAGTTGAAACACAACTAGTCTGTGAAACCTGTGGAATACTTATTTTGATTTCCAATAATTTATAATTTACTTCTTGCTTAAATACCGACAGGCTCTACAATGCCAGAGGGAGGCTTGTGCAAATATTCTCATAGATTCTGGTGCTGATCTAAATGTTGTAGATATGTATGGCAACACAGCTCTCCATTATGCTGTTTATAGTGAGAATTTGTCAATGGTGGCAAAACTGCTGTCCCATGGTGCAGTCATCGAAGTGCAAAACAAGGTAGACGTTAACCAACGTTATTTTCAAAATATTTGAAATCAATTTGTTTTAACATTAACATACGTAAAAGTGTTATATTTGGAAGCTCAAACATTCCTTGAATGAAAATAAGTTGAAAGAACTTAATTACCTAAGATTTTACTTTAAATATTTATGTTTTTACAAGAACTATTAGAGAGTATGGCTTTTCTGTGCATTTATGATAAATATTTGAGTTTTTTAAAGGTAAAACTTTTTCAAATATTCTTTCCCACCCAAGTTTTTTTTTCTTTCCAATTATTGTAAAACTACAGGAAAGCAAAATTTGCCTTCATAAATTGAGTCAACATGTAAAATTTAGGAGACATGCAGAAATCTGGATTTATTCTTAAAGGATTGAATCTGGTGTCTCTTGAGCCCATGTGACTGTTTTGCATGCTAAGAAGACGTTCCAGCTTTACACAAAGCATATGCTTCCAGTTTGCTACTGTGCCCACCTAGTTACATCACTTACTCAACCTACCTCTTTTGCCTTTGTAAATATTTCAGTCATCAATTCCTCTCTCATAGTATATGTTGGTAAAGATTTCAAGGTATTCAAGGCAGTTTATTGGTGTTTATAATATATGGTTTATATCTTACATTAATTCATTAATATTGGGGTTGACTTCTAGAATTTAGAAGATTTTTTTAAACAATGATTTTCTGTATATAAACCATAAATAATAATCTTTTATTAGAATGCTTTTAAGCCTTTTCAGATTAATCATGGTTGTATTTGAATAAGTTATGCGCATTGCAGAAAATATTATATCCTTCTTCTTAGAATTGTCCCTTAAAATTCAAGTGATTTAGGGGCTTCTATTATACTAATCCACATAGATAAGTTAGAACTTTCATGAATAAGCCATTTTATTCATATTTTTGATGTTTTGCCAAAAATTAAGTAGCAATTACAATAGAAACCAGAATACAAATGGATTGTTGCATTTTAAGAAATAGATATGCATTAGGATCCTAGGATTGTCATTATAATTGATAATAAACTTTTATACTGAATTTCTAATAGCTGAGATAAAATTTTATTGTCTTGTAACAGGAGAAACCCCATGGACCATTTAATAATAAGCAGTCAAAGTTCATTTGAAGCCAATCTCTTTTAATTTAGAGCCACTTCCTTAGTGACTCATTTAGAGCAGGAGTGCCTGACATTGGCATCTGGGATCTTGGGATTATTGATAGAAGAGAATCAAGAGAGTTTGTATCACCCAGAGGAAACCTCCATTTTTCTTGGAAAGCTTACAAAACTGCATCCCTGAAATTCTAATTTGTCAAATGTTAATCTCTGCCACAAAAATACATTGTCAAATAAGTATTAGGCAAAGTTCAAGTCATTTATTGAATAATGGACATTTAATTCACAGTTTTATAATGTTTCTTGAACATATATAATGGTGGTATCTGTTGGGGTACAGTGCTTCTGGTAAGGTAATTATTCTCTGGAATATAGTTTAAGAAACACTGCCCTAGAGGTAATTATTTAGATTACTCATTTAGTCAAAAACAAATTATTTACTACTATGTCTTAAGGTTTAAGGATATAGAGATAAAAGATACAGCCCTTGCCCTCAAGAAGCTCTTGGTTTAGATGGGAAACCATAAAATCATTACAATATAATGATTTTTGGAGATAACCAGAGTTAATGTGGTGATGCAGAGGTTGAATGTTTACAAGGGAAGGTGCAGTGCATGGGAAAGCACAGAAAAGGGAGAAAGAAGGGACTGCTATTGATTTACTTTCTATTTTATGTGTTTAAGTTAATAGGATATTATGTAAAGTATTCAGTTCAGTTGAGAAATATGTAATTTCATGATTATAAATTGTTTTGATATTTTGCAGGCTAGCCTCACACCCCTTTCACTGGCCATAATGAAAAGAAGTGAGCAAATTGTGGAATTTTTGCTGACCAAAAATGCAAATGCAAATGCAGTTAATGAGTTTAAATGGTATGGTACTTCTTTTTTTTTTTTTTTATTTAAAAACACTTGACTAGTGTTCTAGATTAATAACACTCAAGTCAGAAATATTAAATTAATAACATTTAGTTAAAATTATTAGATTATAGTGAAACATATCAACACAAATTATCAGAAGAAAAGCGATAATTTGGACTGGTCAACATAAAGAACAGTATATAGTAGGACTTATCTTCTCTTATTATATCGACTGATTCTTATGTGTAATCTGATGTTTTTGGTTGCATCATCTTCTATTAATGAAAGTGGTTCTGTATTAGTTTTAAGAAGTGTGAACCTTTTCAGTTTATTTTATAATTCAATATTGAACTATTAACAGTTTTATAGTATTTTTCTAACTTCTATTTTTTATACACTTTTTAAAACATGCAATATTTGCTGGGCATGGTAGCTGTCGCCTGTTATCCCAGTACTTTGGGAGGCCAAGGTGGTTGGATCACATGAGGCCAGGAGTTTCAGACCAGCTTAGCCAATATGGTGAAACCCCATCTCTAATAAAAACACAAAAATTAGCTGGGCATGGTGGCACATGCCTGTAGTCCCAGCTACTCAGGGGGCTGAGACACAAGAATCGCTTGACCCAAGAGGCAGAGGTTGCAGTGAGCTGAGAACATGCCACCACACTCCAGCCTGGGTAACAGAGTGAGATTCTATCTCAAAGAAAAAAAAGCAATATTAAATAGAAATAGGAGTATAAAATCATTTTGTCTTTAGGATGACTGTTTGCTTTAATAAAGTTGTTTTCTTTGAAGCATATTAATTTTAGGTTATCCCTATGTGACTGTTAATTGCTGCCACCAGATACTGTGAATTTATTATTATTTTTTCCTTTTTTATTCATAGGGTATTTTTATTTTTAATTTGAATGGGTAGAGGGAAGAAAGACATCTTTAATTGGATTAGTATTTTAGTTAATTAAGATAAGCCATAGGTGAGTAATAAAGAGAAAAGAGGCTTTTGATTCATACAAGACTGAGTTTAATCTATAGCTTCCTCACTTGATAGGTGTGACTTTGCAAACATTACTTAATACCAAGTATGATTTTCTATATGAAAAGGAGAATTATAATATGTCCTTTAAGAATGATTATATTGAAGTAACATTATAAATATCAAAAGCATTTAATTCAGTGTTTCATACATTGTTATCAGCATTGTTAACTAAACTTTCTATGACTGCTACTACTATCATTATTCCTAATACTGCTTTAAGCTTTCAGATTGCTCTCACTTGTCTAACTTCTAGCTGATTTTGAAGTACAAAATATTACATCAGACTAAGGAAGAAATAGATAATTTTTCACTTAAATATTTGCCTCTTTGAGATTAGTGAACAAAGCATAATTCCTTGCCCCTCAAAGGACTTTATGTTAGCCAATTCTAGTATGCCATATCCCAATGGGACATGAGTCTTTTTGCCCCTTCCTTTTAGATTTGGTGGTAATTTGCAAGGATAAACACTTGAGCACTCAAGATACTTTTGTTTGTTAGTACATGTAAATGGTTAATTCGACACTGACAGGCACATATTAAATTGGTTCTGCTCATAATAAGTTATTTCTTTGTCATTTTAGCACAGCCCTTATGCTTGCCATATGTGATGGATCATCAGAGATCGTTGGCATGCTTCTTCAGCAAAATGTTGACATCTTTGCTGAAGATATGTGTGGAATGACTGCAGAACATTATGCTGCTGCTTGTGGAGTTAATGTATAAGTGTTTACATTTAAAAGCTAGGTGAGATTTTATAGTTTGTTCCAGGTAGTTTTTGAAAGACAGTGACTTAATTCACTTTATCAGCCAGAAACTAGGCAAAAAGCCAGACTAGTTAGAAGGAGTATTGGGTCCAGAATTCTTTATTTTAGGACTTTCAACAACTTTATCCCTAATGTTGTCTAGTTGATTTTTCTAATTAGTTATTTGGGTCTTGAAATGTCCACTTTGGCAGAAAACCTGATAGTGTCCCCTGGGGGCTGTCTTCCATATCTCAATACTTGAATTTTTAAAAATAATCTAAGGGGTTCCTTAAGTCCAAGGGAGATATTCATTTTGTATAAGTCAGAAGGACTTGGGGGGACATGGCCATTCTCTTCATTTTGTTATTTCCATTGATTCTGTTGCTGCATCGTTGCCATTGAAATTGCGCCTGCAGTCTGGCAATGATCGACCTTTGTGACCAGGATGCCCTTACTAACACAGATCCCTCAGTTTTCATAGTGATCCGTATGTAGACTTCAAAGTTATTACAGGTTTTTTTTTTTTTTACTTTTTTTTAAAAAAGTTATTATTATTATTTTTTTATTAATTACAAAGCTAATACACACACATATTCTCAGCCATTGTTTCCAAAGTACCAGCACTGCGCTCTGGCAGCTAGAACTTTTATCTTTAGCCACACACATAGTGAGCAAGTTGACCCTTCTCCTCCCACTCAAAACCTCATGTGAAACCCACATCTTAACCTGTACTTGGCCTAGACCTTCATGGTAAGTTATCCTTTGAGTGACTTTTTTCTATTTTCTCTAGCAAATATTCGTTGTGATAGTTTAAAACTGTAAGACAGGTTGAAATAATGTTACAGGAAGAAATTAGAGATCCATTTTTATTCTATTACCAGATCTATATCCCTGGCCCTTTATATCCTGTGTAGCACCATTTTGTAGGTAGTGGAAAGTCTCATCTTATTCTGTAAAATCCCATGTCATCTTTCCAAAGTTGTAGTGGGTTCTAACTTGTAGTTGTCCCCTCAAGTGATTCTTTTTTCCTAAAAGTAAAAATCTTCCTTGTTACTTGCATCTCTACCTTGAGTTTTTAAAATATTTTCAAATTCTGCATTACCATGAAGCCATTCAATAGACTTCACTCTATCTCAAGTAAGTTGTTTAGATTTAACAGAGCAAGCCTCATCCATCACTGATAGTCTTCACATATAAAAGTAGGGATTTGTGCTGACTTCAGGGGTACATATGCTAAAATTGAAACAATGTCAAGAAGGTCAGCATGGTCCCTGCACAAGGATGACATACAAATCTGTGAAGTGTTGCGTATTTCTTGCAGTCCCCAAAAGGACATGTAACTACTTTCTAACCAGCTCCAAGGAAACGGTGTGAGTCAAAGCAAAATGGGTGGCACCCAGTATTGCAATTGTGATTTTCATACAAAAAATATTTATGTAAGGTGATATATGAAATGAGGTATGGCAACACATAGGATCTTCTGTGCAATATGTTGTTAGTAGGCATCTCAGAAATGAGAAAATACCAACTTGTATCTTCTTTGTGGAACTTATAAAAAATAAAGGTAGGGTTTTGTCTTCTACAGCAGCTGGAAATGAACATAGTGACTAAGCATCATTCTAACAAAGATTTGTTCATTCAGGTTAAAGGAGGTAGATAAAGAGTAGTAGTAGTCCAAGCCACATGCTGACATTTGTTAGTTTTCTGCCTTTGGTGTGACTGATGAGCTCAGTAATAGAGGATAATCAGGTTATCCAATTTAATGAATTAATATGTTTATAAATAAATTTCATTACAAATTATAAAATAGCTTAGATGCCTGAATTACAAGCCACAAGGAATAGAACATCTAATAACCAAAAGCAGGAATTAATAACAGAAAACTGCAACATTTGAACATTATAACCTATGAATAAACACTTTTTAAAAAAAAAATTAAATTTATTTTTTGTAGAGACAGAGTCTCCCTGGGTTGCCCAGGCTGGTCTTGAACTTCTGGGCTCAAGCAATCCTCCTGTCTCAGCATCCCAAAGTGATTGCATCACAGGCATGAGCCACTGCACCAGGCCAACACATGGTGTTTTATTGGGAATTTTAAAATAGCTTCAGCAATAAGGTTCAAGAATAAATTATTTCAGTGCTTCATTATTTCTTTGAGCATTTTAAAAGTGTTTTATTGTTAAATCTTTGTGATAACCTAGTGAAATAAGGCTCTAAAATCCTCATTTTTAGAAGACATTGAGCCTAAGAGAAGCAACTTGTTCAAGAAAAAATACCTGTTGGTAACTGCGCTAGGACTTTTTCTGAGTTAGGAACATTTTCTATTAAGCCAAGCTAACTCTAGTTAAATTTACTGAGTTATACAGCCCTCAATTCATGAATATTTCATCTTGCTTTATTTCTTCTTTAATTAGAAGCCTAATAAGTTCATAGAGCTTACAAACTTAAAGTCTATGGAATAAGTAATGTTCTGATGGTAGCTCTGATATTGTCTGAAATGCTCTAGGAACTTAATAAATTTAGTAAATGTTTTTAATATCAGCATTAAAATAGTAATTTTATTTATTACATTTTTATACGTAGCATTCATCAACAACTTTTGAAACATATACGAAAATTATCTAAAAATCCTCAAAATACCAATCCAGGTAAGACTTCGGAGAGTAAGCTACTCTTGGTGGTGCTACCATAAGATTATGGAAGTGTTGATCACGAAAAAGCAATTCAAAAAGCAATGGGTAAATAGCATGTATTTACATATATACATATATGTGGGTATATGTGCGTATGTACATATATGTATATATAGCTTTGATTTAATTTTTTAGTTTATTATTCAGAGTTAGTTAAGAATTTAGTTGTAGGTAGTTTATAATCTCAAAAAATATTATCTGAAAAAATATTTGTTTAATTATGGTCCCTAAAATCCTATATAATACTTTTGTATATATAACACAATTTTGTATATTGCATGATTCCTCAATTGTCATAACAACTTAAACTTGTTATAAAATGTATAACCCTTTGTGTGATCGATGAGCTCAGTAATAAGGGGATGATCAGGTTATCCAATTTAATGAATTAATATATTTATAAATAAATTTTATTACAAATTATAATTAGTTTACATGCCCTGAATTATAAGCCACAAAGAATCGAACATCTAATAACGAAAAGTAGGAATTAATAACAGAAAACTGTAACATTTGAATATTATAACCTGCGGGAGTCTATCCTGCAGACCCCGGCAGCGTGACAGATGAGACGCATATCCAGACACCCATATTCAGTGAAAGAGCAGCAAGGGTTCTCAGCCAATTACAGACACCAAGGAAGTTGCTGTAAAGAGTCAGCAGCCACAACCCTGGCAAGCTGGCCCTGTGGGCAAAGTTTTAATGACAAAGGCTTTGAGTCAACACACCTGTGGGTAATTAATCTGGTCGCCCCACCCCGGGAGAGCCATCCTGCTGGTGGGTGATCAAAGGGGAGTCTTAAAGCTGCATGAGTGGCCGGGAGCGGTGGCTGTAATCCCAGCACTTTGGGAGGCCGAAGCGGGCGGATCACGAGGTCAGATGATCAAGACCATCCTGCCTAATATGGTGAAACCCCGTCTTTACTAAAAGTACAAAAAATGAGCCAGGCTCTGTGGCCGGCGCCTGTAGTCCCAGCTACTCCAGAGCTGAGGCAGGAGAATGGCGTGGACCCGGGAGGCGGAGCTTGCAGTGAGCTGAGATCGCGCCACTGCACTCCAGCCTGGACGACAGAGTGAGACTCGGTCTCAAAAAAACAAAAACAAAACAAACAAACAAAAAAACGCACGAGTAAACAAGCTATTTAGATAAACTACTCTACTTTCCTTTGTACCCACTTTAAGCTATTTACTCAAGGTAAAGATTAGACTGCTTTCAGCTATAACCCTATCTTGAGACTTTTACAAAACCTTCCGGCCTTCCAAGAAGATTTGTGTCTATGTCCTATAATGTCATCTTAAAATGTTTCCCACCAACCTGATGAACTCCTACAATAACCTATGAAGAAATATGGTTTTATTTATTTATTTATTTATTTACTGTAGAGACAGGGTCTTCTTATGTTGCCCTCAGGCTGGTATTGAACTTCTGGGCTCTATTTAATTTTTACAATAAATGGTTTGCATTTAGTAAATGAGAATTAATTACAGTTGAATCTTGAGCAATATAAGAGTTAGGGTGCTGATCCTCCATGCAGCTGAAAATCTGCTTCATATGAAAATCTGTTTCTTATGACTCCACCAAAACTTTGCTAATAGTCCACTCTTGACCTGGAGCCTTATTGAAAGCATAAACAGTCAATTAACACATAGCTTCTATTTTATATGCACTGTATACTGTATTCTTACAATAAAGTGAGCTGGAGGAAAGAAACTGCTAGAAGGAGGAAAAAATATATTCACTATTTATTAAATGGAAGTGAGTTAGTATACATGAAAGTCTTCATTCTTATTGCCTTCACATTGAATAGTCTGATAAGGAGAAGGCAGAGCAGAGATTTGTCTTCCTATCTTGCAGTGGCAAAGGAAAAGAAAAGTCTATTAGTGGGCTCCTAGAGTGAAAACCCTTATTCGAGGATCAACTGTGTGACATAGTGACTTGTGTCGCTAAAAAAGTAACTATCTTTAGAATTTGGAATTTAATAATACTTTTCTGGCACCATAAACAAATGTCAACAAGAATTGCAAAACTTAGCCAGGGTACATCAGTACCAATAGGAGATTATCTTTCAACGACACCTACGGAGTGCAGAAGTCGGAAAAGCAATTCTTTATTGAGAAGTGCAGGATGTTACATAGTCTTGTACCAACAAGGTCTCACTATTATCAACTTCATTCCCCCTAAGTTGAAACCAAATAAGATATATTTACTTCATTAGAACAAGGTATGTTGTTCTATCTGCTGGATAATTAGTGTGGTAATAGCAATTTTGTTACAAGAAGTTACTCTGTTTCTAATAGCCAAAATATTATCATTATAAATATTCAAATAACACTAAACTCAAAAAGTTATAAAAAAAATTACAAAAACTTTTCACAATAATGAAAATGCTACTGTGATATCTAAATGTGACACAATGCATTTTACAATATGAACTGTATGAGCACATCTTGTATTTATCAAAGGACCTCTATAAGTTAGATTTGGCAAGCTGCAGGAGACAAAGATGGACTACACATAGTTTGGGTCTTTACAGTGCTCATAATACAGTAGAGCTGTGCCTACTGAATTTCTGTATTTTTCCAACAGAATTTCCCTAAAAATGCTTTTTTTTTTTTTTTCCCGTTTATCCACTTGTCCACTTAACAAATAACTGTCAGGTATCTTTAAGGTACTAAGCATCTTCCTTGTTATTATCATTGTCATTTTTTATTTGCTTCTTTATTAAGGTACTAAGCATTTTCTCCTGTTATTGTCATCTTTTTTATTATTTATTACTTTATTTAGTGCTTACTCTGTGCCAGAACCCCTTTGAGAGCTTATAATTATTACTTATTATGTCATGTCATTACCATATTCAGCATGTGTCAGACATTTTATATCCAAGGTGAAGAATTAAAGCTTTAAAAAATTTAGTAGTGTCCAGTCACAGTGGCTCACTCCTGTAATCCTAGCACTTTGGGAGGCCAAGGCAGATGGTTTGCTTGAACTCAGGAGTTTGAGACCAGCCTGACTAACATGGTGAAACCCATCTCTACTAAATATGAAAAATTAGCCGGATGATGTGGCCTGTGCCTGTAATCCCAGCTACTTGGGAGGCTGAGGTAAGAGGGTCACTTGAGGTGGGAGAATTGTTTGAATTGCATTGAGCTGAGATCGCGCCACTGCACTCTAGCCTGGGTAACAGAGCAAGACTCCATCAAAAAAAAAAAAAAAAAAAAAAAAAAAAAAGAAAAAAGAGAGAGAGAAAAGAAAAGTTTGGTAATATTTAAGGAAAGCATACAGAATGAGTACAAGTTTGCCAGGTGAAGAGTCAGGAGGATGATATTTAGCAGAAAGAAAATTTAACCAGATTGCATGTTTGGCAGAAGGAACACCTGCAGGAACAACTGATGGGGCTGCACCCTTGGCGGAAAGAACTCCTGACATGGCTGAAAGCTTGGTGGAAAGACCACCTGATGAGGCTGCACCCTTGGTGGAGGGAACGTCTGACAAAATTCAATGTCTGGGGAAAGCGACATCTGGAAAATTTGAACAGTCCTCAGAAGAAACACCTAGGAAAATTATGAGGCCTACAAAAGAAACATCTGAGAAATCTGAATGGCCAGCAAAAGAAAGACCTAGGAAGATCACATGGGAGGAAAAAGAAACATCTGTAAAGACTGAATGCGTGGCAGGAGTAACACCTAATAAAACTGAAGATTTGGAAAAAGGAGCATCTAAGGTGATCACATGTCCTACAAAAGAAACATCTATAAAAGCGAGTACAAATGGTAAGATGCTTTAGTGAACTTTGTAGGGTTTATTGTCACTTCAGGTTCCCTAGTGAAAAAAGCGTGATATGGGAGTTGTTGGGAATGACTTGAATATGTAAATAAGGCAAACTTAGGCAACATTTTTTGATAGTATAGAAATAAGTAGATCTTATTCTGTAGGCCCTGGAAAAATTCTCACAATACTTCTGATTGTAAATACTAGATGAATTAACTAACAATGGCTAAAACCATAGGAACTAAAGTTCTTTTGGTGGTTCAGGGACATCATAGGATCCCATTTTTATTGATTGACTGATTGATTGATTGATTGATTTTGAGATGGAGTCTCACACTGTTGCCTGGGCTGGAGTGTAATGGCGTGAGCGATCTCGGCTCACTGCAACCTCTGTTTCCTGGGTTCATGCAATTCTCCTGCCTCAACCTCCCAAGTAGCTGGCATTGCAGGCGCCCACCACCATACCTGGCTAATTTTTTGTATTTTTGGTAGAGACAGGGTTTCACTATATTGGCCAAACTCGAACACCTGACCTCGTAGATATCCCCTCCTTGGCCTCCAAAAGTGCTGGGAATTCAGGTGTAAGCTACCGTGCCCAGCCAGGATCCCACTTTTGGTAGGCTAATTAACAACAGCTCCAATCATCATGCTCTCTCAAGACAATATTTAAAGGCTAGAAGGGCTGCTTTTGTTCACATGTTTCTTTTAAATAGGGAGAAAACTTGGAAACTTGCAGTAATCTTCCTGTAACCTTTTTGTTGGCTGGATTATACCATATGTCATTTCTAAGCCAGTCACTAGGAAAGCAAATGTAATTACTGTATTATAGAATAATGGTTCTCTCTTTTGAGATGGAAGGGTAATGGAGTAATGAATATCAAGAACTTGTGTTCTACAGCAAGAAAGAATAAATAATGACTATGCATAGAAGCAGCAAGTTTTCTGCAGGGATTCATGGAAAAGTTTGAGCAGGGGAGTCACAAGATTAGATCTGAGTATCAGGGCATTTTGGTCATGGTATAATGCAGAGATTGGCAAACTTTTCCTGTAAAGTGGCCAGATAGGAAATATGTTAGACACCAAGTGTGTGGCTCGTGCCTGTAATCCCAGCAGTTTGGGAGGCTGAGGCAGAGGTAATCATGAGTTTATGAGTTCGAGAGCAGCCTGGCAATATGGTGAAACCCCATCTCTACTAAAAATACAAAAAAAAAAAAAAAAAAAGCCAGTGTGGTGGCACGTGCCTGTAATCCCACTACTTGGGAGCTGGAGCAGGAGAATTGCTTGAACCAAGGAGGCGGAGTGCCAGTGAGCTGAGATCACACCGCTGCACTGCAGCCTGGTGACAGAGCAGCACTCCATCTGAAAAAAAAAAAAAAGAAACTAAGTATGTTAGGCCAGGTGGCTCTATTACAGCTATTGAACCTACATTGTAGGGGAAAGCCACTCATACGTAATGTGTGGAGCAAATAGGCATGATTGTACTCCAATAAAACATTGTATAAAATACCATTTGGTAAGCTGAATTGGGTCGGTGGCCTATAGTTGCCTGGTTCTTCATATAAAGATAATTACATAAAAGGATTTAAAAACAAAAGAGCTTTTGTAGTAGTTCATGCTATAGTCTTTTTTTTTGTCACCAACTTGGGCCTAGTACAATCTATGATGAAGTTTGACCCATCCAGGTTAAAGCTCAATTTACATATTTAAACCTGTAGGTCTTTCTTTGCCGTATTTTAATTTGATTTTTTGCTAAATATTTTTAAACTTAAAATAACAATAGTAATGGTAGGGTTTCTTTTTCACGTGAAAGCCATCAGATAAGGGCCATGTCAAAGGAAATATAAATATAAAATAATAAGTTGCCATTTCCAGTGGCACTGAAAAAATAAAGCAAAGGCAGAAAAGTGATACAGTTAATACAGTTTGTTATTATTGAGTTTAAAAAGCTATGGGACAGAGAAAATCTCCAGGTCATAAGTTACAGATTGTTAATAAGCATTTACAATGCTCATGGGGAGGAGTAGAAATTGTCAAGTCAGGGCTGGGCGCGGTGGCTCCAGGCCAGTAATCCCCCAGCACTTGGGAGGCCAAGGTGGGCAGATCACGAGGTCAGGAGATCGAGCCCATCCTGGCCTAACGCAGGAAACTCCCCATCTCTACCTAAAATACAAAAAAATTAGCTGGGTGTCGTGGCGACGCCTGTTTCCAGCCTACTGGGAGGCTGAGGCAGGAGAATGGCATAAACCCAGGAGATGGAGAGAGTGCCGCGAGAATCTCACCCAGTGCACTCCCAGCCTATGCAAACAGAGGCAAGACCCATCTACAAAAAAGAAGAAAGAAATTGTTCTGGTCAGTAAGAGCTGCAAACGTCATGGGAAACAGCCAATCCAGTTTTCTTTAGCATGATGAGTTTAATGAAACACTCATGTGTGATACTTTCAGTAGGTAATGGATAATATAGGATTTCTAGCGGAGATAGAACTCTGGTTGAGAGAGGTGGCTTTAAAGAATTTATTAAATACTTAGCAAAGCCATAGATTATCAATGAACTTATACATGATGCAGAAGTGTAGAATAAGAAGAATCATTGACAAAACCGTGGAGTATCAAACATTCACAGAGTCAAAATACTCGTCGTCAAGGAGATTGAGCACGTCTAAAGAAAAGTATGAGAGGCAGTCGAGAAAGGAGTTTGCAAATTACTTAAATGTGAGAATTTCAAGCAGCAAAAGTTACTGAAAAAGCAATGTGAATTTAACCTTACAAACTTCTTCAAGTGGAATCTGTCAAAAGAATTATTTCTAGAAGTTTTTAAAATTTATTTTTTATTATTCATACTCTAAGTTCAGGGTACATGTGCATACGTGCAGGTTTGTTACATTTATGTATACTTTAGCATGTGCTGGCTGCTGCACCACCAACTCGCAGCACCCTACTAACGTCCATTTCAAATAGGTGTAACTCCCAATGCAATCCCCTCCCCTCCCTCCCCAGATAGCCCCGGTGTGTGATGTTCCCCTTCCGGTCCAAGTGATTCATTGTTCAGTTCCCAACCTATGAAGTGAGAAACATCCGGTGTTTGTTCTCGTTCTTGTGATAGTTTGCTAAGAAGATGGTTTCCAGCTGCATCCATGTCCCTACAAAGGACACAAACTCATCCTTTTTATGGCTGCTAGCATTCCATGGTGTATATGTGCCACATTTCTTAATCCAGTCTGCACTGATGACATTTGGGTTATTCCAAGTCTTTGCTATTGTGAATAGTGCCGCAAAAACATACGTGTGCATGTGTCGTTTATAACAGCATAATTTATAACCCTTTGGTTATACCCATAATGGATAGCCGGGGGTCATATGGTACATCTAGTTCTAGATCCTTGAGGAATTGCCATACTGTTTTCCATAATGGTTGAACTAGTTTTTAAGTATACTGTTGATATGGTTGATATTTCTGGTGTCCAATAAAAAAATCTCCCAAGATCCCACCTAACTTTTTGTAATTAAAGCAGCCAACATAGCCAGGGTCTGGAAAATTGTCTAGACTGCTAAATACACATTCCAATATTTTTCTAGAGTTGTCAAAACCTAAGGGTAAAGTGTGAGGAAAAGTGTTGTCTTTTTTATCTGCTTCTTGTGGAGAGTAGAGATCTGTGTTGTGTCTGTCTCTCACACAAACATAAACACACACACACAAATAAGTATAGTAATTCACCCTTATCCATGTGAGGTATTTTCTAAGACACCCGGTGAATGTCTGAAACTGTGGATAGTATGAAACCCTATATATACATGTTTTTTTAATATATGCATATTTATGATAGTTTAATTTATAAATTTGGCACAGTAAGATATTAACAATAACTCATGATAAAATAAAACAATAACAATACATTGTAATCAAAGTTAGGTGAAAACGGTCTCTCAAAATGTCTTATCTTGTACTCACCCTTCTTTTTCGTGTGATGACTGTGAGATGACATAATGCCTATATGATGAGATGAAGTCAGGTGAATGAGGTATGAGTTGTCATGTGGTGTTAGGCTACTAATTATTTCTGGCTATCTGACTACACATCAGAAGGAGGATCATCTGCTTCATGTGACCCTGGATCATTGAGCCATGATAATGTTGATGGTTGGGATTCAGGAACAGATCATTTTGATGACTAATGGGCAAATAGCATACACAAAGGAATGATTCATGACCTGGGTGAGATGGAACAGGGTGTCTTAATATTTCATCATACTCCTTAGAATGACACATTATTTAGAACTTATGACTTGCATATTTCTGGAATTCCCCGTTTAATATTTTTGGACTATGGTTGACCATGAGTAACTGAAATCACAGAAATCAAAACCATGTCTATTATATTGTGAAACATATGTTTGGTCTTCAACATTGTTTTCTGGCATACAACTCATAAAATGTTTAGAATCTCCAAAGATGTCTTTGTATGCTAACAATTGAGTGATGGCTGGCAGTCTCTAGGTAGCTTCAGGATAGGAGATGGTAACAAGAAAGAACAAGACATGATGTGTTAGGACTTTCAGTCCCACCCCTCAACCTCCTAGGAGGTGAAGGTTAGGTCAATTACCAATGGCCACAGATTTTTTTCATTCATGCCTATATAATAAAGCTTTCTTTAGAATCCAGAATGACTGGGAACAGAGACCTTCCAGATAGCCGAACATATGGAAGTGTTTGGAGACTGATGTGCCCTGGGAGGGCATGGAAGCTCCATTCCCCTTTCCTATAACTCACTCTATGCATCTCTTCATGTGTCTCCTTTGTTTTACCCTTTATGATAAACTGGTAAATGTGTTTCCCTTAGTCTTTGGGAAACTCTAGCATGTCAAACCCAAAGAGGGAGTTGTGAGAACCCCACCTTGAAACCAGATGGTTAGATGCTTCAGAAACCCAGATTTGCAACTGATGTGGGAGGTTAGTCTTGTGAGACTGAGCCCTCAGCCTGTGGGATCTGACACTATTTCTAGATAGTGTTGGAATTAAATAGAGGACAACTTGCTGGTTTCTGTTACAGAATTGGTTGGTTATTTGTTGGTGGAGAAAATCCTCCACAAATTTGGTCACAGAAGTCTTCTGTTTTGATGACTGTGGTGTGAGAGCAGAGGTAAATCATGTTGTGTGTGTTTCTACACATAGAGCAGATAAAGAGAGACTACTGTGTACTCTTTTCTAACTGCTCCTAGTTCATTTTTCTAGAAATTACACTTTCTGAGGTTGACACTGTCCACTTATACTAATTCTGCTAATAATACAATTTTCTGTGAGTCTTGTAGGATTCTCTTTGGATTATGTTTATTGTACACTGTAGTTCATTTGTAGAGAGCAAATTGTGATAAATTCTATTTTTCCTTGCATTTGAGAACTACAAAGCAGGGGAAAAAGCATTCTTAATGCATTAATTTCCTAAAAATAGTATACTTAATAATTTTACCATAGCTCAATGTATGGTCCCAAAGGAATCCTTTATATCAGATCATCTGAGTCTTTGTAACAAAGTGTTGGAGTATTATGCTTTTTTAAACAAGATCTAGATCATACACGAAAATGTGCACGATTCTTTTAAGTTGAAGTCTCGCAATGTCTCCCAGGCTGCTTTCAGACTCCTGGACTCCTCAGGTGATCCTCCTGCCTCACCTTCCCAAGTAGCTGGGATTACAGGCATGTGCCATCATGCCCTCTTAGGTTTTTAATATTCTGTGTTTTCTATTTATATTTGTTGATTTAATGTATTTTACTTTTTTTCTTTAATAGTGGATATGAGTTCTGTAGAGCCTAAAATCAGGTAAGACTTTGCAGTTTTTTTTAAACTTTTATGCTAACTCAGAAAATATAGAGAAAAAAAATCACTATCTCCTGAGTATTCTACTCCGGGCTAGACAACATATTATGTGCTTAATATTTATTATCTCACATAGTCATCACACAGCTTTGCAAAGCATCTGTGCTACTATCACCTACTTTGTATTAATCAGGCAAATGCGGTTCAGAAAGGTTGATTAATTCGCCTATGATTTCATAGCTAAAAAATAGCTGACCCTTGAGTTTGAACATCTGTCTATCTTGCTCCCAAATCCCTTCTCTTCCCTCTTGGCGTAGATTGATGGAGACCTCTGCATCATTAAGATCAAGGTACAGGTCCAGATGGGATTAATTCACAAAGTTACCTTTTGTTACATATTAACACTTTTTTTTTTTTTTTTTTTTTTTTGAGATGGAGTCTCACTCTGTCGCCCAGGCTGGAGTGCAGTGGCCCGATCTCAGCTCACTGCAAGCTCCGCCTCCCGGGTTCACGCCATTCTCCTGCCTCAGCCTCCGGAGTAGCTGGGACTACAGGCGCCCGCCACCTCGCCTGGCTAGGTTTTTGTATTTTTTAGCAGAGACGGGGTTTCACCGTGTTAGCCAGGATGGTCTCGATCTCCTGAACTCGTGATCCGCCCGTCTCGGCCTTCCAAAGTGCTGGGATTACAGGCTTGAGCCACTGCGCCCGGCCTATATTAACTCTTTTTAGAGTTTTCTCTTAGAACACTGGTTAATAGAAGACTTTGTCCTAACATGTTTAACAGTTAAAGTGGTATATCAGTACCTTTATTATCATCAAAGTTTTTAGAGCAGATCTTATTTAGCTGTGGCGACAAGACATAGGCTTTTGTTTCATAAGCAATACCAGGTAAATCTTGTAGATGAATTATTTTAGTGGAGAATAGATATAGATATGTTAATCATATTTAGAGGCTATTTCTTAAGATTTCTCTATTTACTGACTTCCCAGTTTAGTTTTTCTTCAAAGCAGTACCCTGCCTTGTTGCATGAACTCTTCCTTTTTTTTCTAGAGTCTTTTTTTCTTCTTCCATAACTTTTCTATAATCTTTTCCTAATTACTTTCTTCTCTGCTTTCCTTGGTGTTCTTTTCTTCTATTATTTTATTGCTTTCTACCAGCCCCATTTTTCTATAGGTAAAATTAAAGGCACGTGGAATTTTAGGATTTTAAAGACTCTTGGAGACTAATCAAAATACTTTCATATTTCAACTTGTATTTAATATCCTGCAAAAATAGTTGTTCATATGGAGAGTCTGAAACTCAAAGTGACTTATTTAAATATAGGAGGTAGCAGAAGTAATATTTACACTCATTTCAAAGCCCATTACTCTTGTTTTTATATCATCATGTACGTGAGTGTATGAATAATAGGAAGAGGGAACGGGTCCAATTAAACAAATGGGAAACAATAAGAATGAAATTAGCTGGAGAACCCAGTGGAAGTAGGTAACAAGAGAATTAGCAGGGAAAGGCCAAGTCTGAAGAGAAATAATCCCAGGATTGGTAGGAGTAAGGGTTTTACCAAAGAGATCAGAATGTTGGACCTTATGTCAAGTTTGATGAAGATAAATTAGAGGAACAAAAACACAGAAGACTTTGGGAATTATCTAGAAGGGCATACTAAAACAATGTTGAAAAGAAATCCTGAATAGGTCGCTGCTTTTTTGCTTGTTTAATTGGAGGAATGGACAAACTTCAAGCTTTTTAATGAAAAATGGAAAAACAAAAAAGAGCCACTGGGAAAAGTCTCCATAATCAGATAGAAATGTCCTATTCTGTTCTTTCACCGCAAATCTCACAGGAGTGGCTTAGAGCCCCTTGAGTGCTAGGGGATTAAAGTTTGCAGAGTTAGATATATCTGTGGCCCAAGGCAGATGCCCCCTCCCCTTTGACTCTTTTTCCAAGCCTCTGATGGCCTACCCATGTACATATAAAGCAGGGGTAAGACTGACTGGCATATAATATAGTTGGGTTTTTGGTAACATGCTTATGCTAGAGGTGAATGACTAAGACTCCATTTAGTTGTTTTCCAGGAACAGGTAAATACAGAGCTTCTTGGCTGGTCATTGAATTTATCTTTTCAGTAATCTGTGCTTTGATGAGCTGAATATTTAAAGGTTGGAGACTGCCATGAAGCCCTGCAGAAGAAAGATCTGGAAGTGGGAGAAACTTTCACTATGTACAGTGACTCCCACTTCCAGATCTTTCTCTCTGTGTATGTATAGTACTTAGAGAAATCCAACTATCAGGACTCAGTTTTTCTAGTAGACTCTCTCCTTGGGTATAAGTACCTATGAAGATTTTTAAGGCTTTGCTAGTTTATGTAGACCTGAACAAGGAAGGACAAGTATAAAATAAGTAGTTAGATTTTATTATTTTTAATGTTTCAATTTTTTTGTGAGAAAAATATTTCCAGTAACAAATACACATTTGCAATTTGCAATTTGTAGATTCAGCTTTTCAGCATTTCAAATATTTCAGGGGACTCTCTGTAGTGTTTTAGGGTGAAGGGAAGCAACAGGGCCTTCTTAAGTGGCTTTTATGCTGAAAAACAATGTCATTTTCCAGTGACACAGATTAGTCTTGGAATCAGAGATAGATAATGGAAAAGGGACAAGGTAACTGTATCTTTCTTCCTCATTTTACATTATCAAGTTTGTTCCAGTTTAGATATCAAAAGTTATGTCAGCCATTAAGTAGATTTCCAGTTCATCATTGAGAACAGTTTGGGAGGATGAATGATACTCAGGGTATGCCAATTATATTGGCTGTCGCTATTTCTTATGGAACTAAGAATCAGTCTTTATTGTATGTTCTAGGTTGGGGAGGTAGAGTCAAAAATAAAAATAGGTAACTAAAATCATTTTTAAAAACAGAGGGCATATTTTAATTCTACCAAGAAACATGATATAATATACAGAGGACTGATCTTTCCCCAGATTTTGTTTTTTGTTTTCATTTTTTAGAGTGAGAAGCAAGATATGAACTAGCAGATTTTCTTTTTAAATATAAGAATTTGCTCATTTCTGTTGTATCTTTTTTCTCTAAAGTCTTTGTGGCAAACCGACTATTGAAAATTCACAGTCTACAAAACTTGAGGAAGACTTTAATCTTGCTACCAAGGTAAAATGGTCTTTTGTGAAGTTGATTTTCTCAGTTGGAATCTAGTTCTGTATAGTATTTACTTTTCATGTTTTGCAGTGCTGTAAGTATCATTATTTCATGTTGGTAATATAAAGTTGGTCAGATAAAAACATTTTATAGAAATATGAGTTGTTGATATAAACAGTTTTTTTTTTTTTTAACTTCAGTAAATAACAAATCATTGGTAAATACTTGGAGGGTGTGAGGCCAAAATACAGAATGGGCTGGAGAAACAGGAACATTATACTAGAAAAAACTTTTCCACAATAGAGAATATATAAAATTTGGTAAAGGTTTATTTGCATAAGTATACTTACTGTGACTTTTAAAATTATTCTATTGTAACTTAAAACAAAACTCATGCTTAAATTTATCTTAATAGATCCAGTTACTTATTATTGTAATCACAGAATCTCTCTGATACTGTTCAGTTCCAAAACTGTGCCACATAGCATATAGGTTTTTTATTTGGCACTTATTATTTTGATATCACGTAGTTTTTAGGAGAGAGTTTTTTCTTGGTTTCTCTTGTTGGTTCTTTAATTACACCAAAATAATATTAGAAGTTGTGAAAATTTATTTGGGCATGCTGGTGCATGCCTGTAGTTTCAACTACCGAGGAGGCTGATGCAGGAGGATTGCTTGAGCCCAAGAGTTTGAGACCAGTGTGGGCAACATAGCGAGACCTTACCTCTAATTTAAAAAATAATGGTAGAAATTTAGAAATGTAAATTCTCTTTCTCAGAGTCTGTATTATTAAGGCATGCCAGTGTGTTTTCTAAGTTATTTCATTAAAAGTAGACTTTAAAACTCTTCATCTAAATGAAGAATGCAGGTTTTACCCCAAGTAAATAACAATTTTGGAAGCAGAGACTCTTAATAAGCCTATGGTAAGATTTTAATTTCGGAATTTTTAAATTGCAGTTTTTAAACATACTGTTCTAGGATCTATGATCACATTTGAAAATTTTAAATTTCAGAAGATTTTGTGTTTAGTTATTTAAATAATCATTTTGAAGCTCTTGCATCACTATAAGGTACTGCAGGTTAGAAAACACTTGTGTGCATCCTAGTGTACCCAGAATACAGTCTGGCATATATAAAGCATTTTAAGAGGTTTTCAATGTGAATAAATGAGCAGACAAATGAATTTTTATGTAATGGAATGTTACAAGTAAGATAATATGCATAATATGTCTTATAATTAAATCTAAGACATTTCTAAAATCTGGCTTAAATTTATATTTTCTTTTAATATTTACAATGCATAAATTCATGTGAGTTATCTTGAGAAAATATGTCTCAGATAAGAAGACAATCAGAGATACGTAGTAAATAGGAAAGAAGTTTACACTATATTTTCTAGTATTCTCCAGTGGAGTTTAGATTTAAAAAATTTTAATATATTTTAGTCTCAACTCATGTTCTTTTTTTTTTTTTTTGAGACAGAGTCTCCCTCTGTCATGCAGGCTGGAGTGCAGTGGTGAGATCTCGGCTCACTACATTCTCTGCCTTCCGGGTTCAAGCAGTTCTTCTGCCTCAGCCGCCTGGGTAGCTGGGACTACAGGCGTGTACACCACACACAGTTACTTTTTGTAATTTTAGTAGACACAGGGTTTCAGCATGTTGGCCAGGATGATCTCAATCTCTTGACCTTGTGATGCGCTGGCCTTGGCCTCCCAAAGTGCTGGGATTACAGCATGAGCCACTGCGCCTGTCCAAAACTCATGTTCTATTAAACGTATCTTTTCAAGGAATACATTACTCTAAAATTCTGGTTACCAATACTTTCTTCAGGTGAAAAGTTTAGAAACGTTTCTTCTTAAATTCTTTCTCTCTCTGTAGTAACAATGTTCTTGCTTTTAGGTATTGGCTGAAGACCATGTTTAACCAATTGAACGTCTTATTATGTAATACTAAAATTAAAATCTTTATTACCCAGGTATTAACAAATAACTAATTGTAGTGTAAATACCGATCAGCATTATGGGAATATATTATGAACAAAAGTCTACTTTATGTGTTTCATCACATGTCTTATAGTTGTTTTTCATTTTCTTTCATGAATGAAGCTCATACTTGATTGACTGGTCATGGCCCTTGTTTGTTTCTCCCTCTTCCTTCACCTTTTCAAAACGATTTACTGCAGACTTTTTTACTCACAGAATACATTTCTTTAGTGTCTGCTTTTTAGGGCATTGCTGTCTCAATTGTCAGCATATTTATTTACAGGTTTCTATTTAGTTGCTATGTATGATTTTCATTAATCAGTCATGACCCCCCCCCAAGATTTATTCTTTTTTTCTCTGTTTCTTAGAAGAAGCAGAATTTATACAATTATTTATACTTAGCTTTTTGCCACACAGAATAGAAACAACCCATACCATTTCAATGCAAACCCAGTTAAATAAGGTACTATTAAAAACTAAAGTCTCACATTTTTCCACACAAGAGGTAATTAATACAACTGTAAATTGGGAAGAGATATTTCAAAATATAACATGTAATTTAACTTTTTAAATTTTAATTATTTCAACAATACTATAAATTATGTGAGAGCAAATTTTTGCCCTAGGTTATTTTAGTTAAAAAAGTAATCTAACGGCCGGGCGTGGTGGCTCCCGCCTGTAATCCCAGCAATTTGGGAGCCCGAAGCTGAGGATCACGAGGTCAGGAGATTGAGACCATCCTGGCTAACAAGGTGAAACCCTGTCTCTACTAAAAATACAAAAAATTAGCCGGGCATAGTGGCAGCCACCTGTAGTCCCAGTTACTTAGGAGGCTGAGGCAGGAGAATGGCGTGAACCTAGCGGCGGAGCTTGCAGTGAGTCGAGATCGCGCCACTGCTCTCCAGCCTGGGCGACAGAACGAGACTCCGTCTCAATAATAATAGTAATAATAATAATATTCTAATGGATATCACCGTATTTGTTTAATAATAAATTACATGAAGGGGGTGAAATGAAATAATTCATTGAAGAAGGGTAAGATAAACATAGAGACTCAATGAGTCAAGATGACACAGATTATTACAAAAAAACACAGCAAAAATAGTGGTTTAAATGAGAGGAGGAACTCTCTAGGATAAAAGATATGACACAAATTATTTAAAACACAAATTAAGAAAGCATAGCAAGGTAATAAAATATGGCTCAGGTGTTTCTGAGTGACTTGCAGTTGATTTTAATAAAAAGCTGAAAGAAAATATAAGGATGATTATAGGTAAGAGCAATTTGTTGCTACAAAACAAGTTTTGCAGTTAAGCTACAAAACTCTCAACGAAATAAATGTAGACATTATTAATCTCTAGGAATATTCTGACATCTTTTGCTCATAATATCTGTATGTAATGGTATTATATGCACACATCAACTGAATGTAATCAATATTTGTGATTTTTTTCCAAGTAAAGTACCTATTATCATAGAAGCATATGTATGGGAAGATTGATAACAGAGTAAACAAACTTATCATTGGAAGAATACTTTTTAAAAACTCTTAAAACTATCTCTTGCAATGGGGATATTTTATATTCTTTCCAGGAAGCCTTATTAACTTTAGTCTTCATAACTATTACACCTTGCACGTATATATTGTTTATTTCTAAAACTCAGGAATCCTGTCGACTTGAATTTTTTAGTTTCTTTCTTCACTTCTCCTGTGAATACTGAATCCTGCTTGACAATCATAGATATATGTAAAAACTATGAAATCTTCAACTTGAATAATTATTGCTTAATTTTCTTTATATGAGATATTTTCTCCAATTTTAAACTGCCATCTTATATGGTGTAAATAGGCAATTAGAGCTAGTATTATCTTGTTTACAGGAATATAAGAAAAGCGTGTGAATTTTAAAACAGGGTTTCACATTTCTATCTCACTTTATAGTAGTACTTAAAAATGCCTCATAATTCTATAGGTAAGCATTTCTCTTGTACAATTAAAAATTTGCAAGGTTTTTATAAAGGTCATTTTGCAGAATCTTGTTTTAAAATTAAATGTTTTCATTCAATTCAAAGATACATATTACAATAATATTTCAGAAATAAATATTTACCTATATAAATACAATTATATTCTTGAAATAAATTTGGAAATATATAAATGAGAAACTTAAACCCATGTTTTTCTCTCTCCTTTTGATTTCATTTTCAAAATTTCAGCAGTTTGCGTAGATTTGTTTTAATTCTACCCATTTAGTCTATTTTATATTTATTTTCTTATCACTTTGTAATTTTCCTCAAGTAGGTAATCTACTCATACTCCAAATGTATTTATCCAGATCTTTCTTCCAAGCCCCTTAGATGCCTCAAATCTTAGAGGTCTCAAACTGAAAGCATCTTTTTTTAAATTCTTTTCCTGCCTCTTTTCTGACTCTTTGTAATTTACTCTGTCATCTAGTGTCCCCATACTAGTAAATAACACCTAGGAAGTAGCCATGAAATACTCAAGCACTTCAACCAGCACTTCAACCGTCCCCCACATCCTGCACTTCAACCCTCCTCCAGGTCACCAATCCAGTCACACACCAAATTTTGTATTACCTACCTTCTTATAATTTTCCATATCTTATTACCATAATTAACCATCTACCTATAATTTTGAAGTACTCCTTTCTACTTTTGCCCCATCTCCCCATGTTCATCTTTACACCGCTGGAAGGGTCACCTTTCTAAAATATATTTGTAATGATGCAACTCATCTGCATATTGAGTGAATACCCGTTACATGAAGGGGTAATTTCACATTCTAGTGTGACACATACCGTATATGGTTTGGCCCCATTTTATCTCTTCAACTCATTTCCTCTGACTGTGTTCCAGTTTTACCACATAACTTTGGCATCCCTCGGTTGCCATGTTGTTTCATGCCTTATTATTTTGCACATGCTATTGCACCAAGAGTCTTTGTATCCTGACTCTGCACTTCCTCTGTCCTTCCAAATATGGTCCCATTATGGCAGCATTTTCTATGCTTTTCAGGTAAAACTGATTTTTCTTTCCTTTTTGCCCTTATGTATTTTAATGACTTAAATTGTAAAACTGGTGAATTATACTCTTCTGTTCTTATTTGTTTTCACATATCTCTACCATATCTTGCATATGGGCCAGAATCTATCTTCCATGGATATTTTCTGCTTTCCCAGAATAGTGCCTATGATTTGATAAATACAATGTGTATATTTGTTGTTGTTGTTGTTTGTCTTACTGACAAATTGAGTGAGTGACTGAGTTAATACATACAATTTTTTTCTGAAGTTTTTATTGTTGTTGTTGTTGCTTTCTGTTTTTTGTTTGTAATAGGAGGGAGCAACAAAGACAGTAACTAGACAACAAAAACATGATATTGGCATTATTGAACGAGCTCCACAAGATCAAACAAGTAATGACAGTTCTTTTTTTTTTATACCAAAATAATAGAAGTGGTAATTTAGTGAGAAAAATATTCCCAGTAACAAATATACATTTGCAATTTGAAATTTGTAGGTTCAGCTTTTCAACATTTCAAATATTTCAGGGGACTCTCTGTAGTGTTTTAGGGTGAAGGGAAGCAACAGGGGCTTCTTAAGTGGCTTTTATGCTGAAAAACAATGTCATTTTCCAGTGACACAGATTAGTCTTGGAATCAGAGATAGAAGAAGAAGAAAAAGACAAAGAAACAGAAATTATAAATTTAAGATACTCTCACTAAACAAGGAGAAAGGAAGTGATGAAAAAATAAATTTGAAATAGTGTTGGATGGAAAGAATCAATTCTACGGAGTTAGAGTTGTTTTTTTTTTTATTTTTTATTTTTATTTTTTAGTAGAGGCATTTTGAGGCAGGTAACAGGGTACAAACAAGAAAGAAGGTAACTTCTTTATGAGAAGACCCTGAGAAGACTCTGAGAAGGAAAGTTGAGTGAACTCACTTCAGATGCATTTAGATTATTTGTACTTCAGAAAGTAAATTGTGGACACTCCAGAGACTACTGGAAGCAGGAGGCTTGCTAGAATTGTGGTAACCACAGTGACTCATTAGGTTTCTCTGTTACAATCAGTCATGACAAATATATATTTTGTTGATGTTAGCTATTCAAATGAGATATATTTGAAATTAAGAACACTGGCTTTATTTTTAAGAAAGTGAGTTGTTTTGGTCAAATTGCCATTCCACAAAAATTTATTATAGACCAACGATACACCAAATCAGATGAATTGTAGGAACTAAAAAAATACTGAATTTATACTTGAATAATAAGATTGCTTTTTAAAATAAATATTGTGGTGACTTAACAATATAAAAAGTTATTTATGTTTAATACATCTATTGTGGTTAATTTTTATATAAATATGTCAATATTGAAAGCTTAGTATAGATTATTTCCACGATGAGTTTTATACATCTTCTTGCATGAGTGGATCAAGAAGCATTCAGATGAATAAACTAGAGGATACAGAAATGTAGGCCTATGATTACACCACATGGTTATGGAAAACAACGAATATTTCTATTTAGTATTATGACCTGAGTATATATCCAAACTGATCAATTCATAATACTTCACTGACGAGATGTCAATTCTACATTCAGCTGAACTCTCATCATAACTATATACCTTTGCAAAGATAGGCCATATTAAATAACATGATGAATGGAATAATATAAATGATTCTAATGTGTTTCATTTAGTACATGGTGTAGCATTCCATGTTCAGCTTTGACATTTACTTTCTCATATCAACCCTTTTTACACGTGAAACACAATCTCACTTTTGAAGTCTTAACTGCATGATCTGTGAAACCTTTATTTATATTTTCTTCAGTGTATTCCTGTCATATGTGTGTCCCAAACAAACTTTCCAAATCTAAAGTATTCATTCTCAAAGTCAACCAAGAGAACTCAGTTAGATACTATCACTGCATTCATTTGTGGTTGGTTTTGTCATATTTACTTATGATTGATGATAAATCTCTTTTGCTTTTAAGAGCCTCCTGAGAAGCCATCTGCCTTCAAGGTATTTGGTTTTATAATTTCATTTTTAATGACTTATTAACTAGGTATTTTGTGAAGTATACATTCTTTAATAATCATTTTGCTTCCAAACCCATTTAGCCTGCCACTAAAATGCAAAACTCTGTTCCAAATAAAGCCTTCAAATGGAAGAATGAACAAACATTGAGAACAGGTAAATTTTTCAATTTAACTATGGAAATATGAATATTTCAACATTGAACAGTTTGATAGTCTTTTTATCTCCAATGCTTAATTTTTTTCAACTTTGATGAAAAGATTTGATCTAAGTAATGCCAATACTGGTATTTATGTTTGAAAACCTGAAATTACAAGAACAGTAATTTTCAATAGTTTTTTAAAAAATGTAACCTTAATCTCGGGTGTTTCTAGCTTTGTATCCCAAAACTGTAATGTTTTCTATTGTGAACTTCTGTATTTCTTAAGGATTCAAGAAGGTGAATTTTGAAAATCTAATTTTTTTTAGTTCTTCAAAGCTTGATTCAATTCCATGGTTTACATCGAAGATCGCTTCTTTTATTGATATAACACTTGTATTTCAACATTAATTACCTCATTTCCAGTGTTGTCACTTTGAGAATCCTAAGAAAATCAGTAACTCTGAGTAGTGAACTATGTGTGTTTGTGTGTGTGTTTCATCGTGTGTGCCTGTGTGTGTCTGTTTTTGTGTGTGGTACCTTTACTATGTAAAGATGAGGAAAGTAATCAGTCATTTCTTTGTGAATATTTGATAAACACACTTTTTCACAAAACTGTGATTCTGAAGCATTTGGCTTTAGAGTCTTTTTACACTAGTACTATTTATTATTATTGTTATTACTATACTTTAAGTTCTAGGGTACATGTGCACAATATGCAAGTTTCTTACATATGTATACATGTGCCATGTGGGTGTGCTGCACCCATTAACTCGTCACCTACACTAGGTATATCTCCTAGTGCTATCCCTCCCCCGTCCCCCATCCACAATAGGCCCTGGTGTGTGACGTTCCCTTTCCTGTGTCCAAGTGATCTCATTGTTCAATTCCCACCTATGAGTGAGAATATGCGGTGTTTGGTTTTCTGTTCTTGCGATAGTTTGCTGAGAATGATGGTTTCCAGCTGCATCCATGTCCCTACAAAGGACACGAACTCATCCTTTTTTATGGCTGCGTAGTATTCCATGGTGTATATGTGCCGCATTTTCTTAATCCAGTCTGTCACTGATGGACATTTGGGTTGATTCCAAGTCTTTGCTATTGTGAATAGTGCCACAATAAACATACGTGTGCATGTGTCTTTATAACAGCATGATTTATAATCCTTTGGATATATACCCAGTAATGGGATGGCTAGGTCAAATGGAATTTCTAGTTCTAGATCCTTGAGGAATCACCACACTGTTTTCCACAATGGTTGAACTAGTTTACAATCCCACCAACAGTGTAAAAGTGTTTCTATTTCTCCACATCCACTCCAACACCTGTTGTTTCCTGACTTTTGAATGATTGCCATTCTAACTGGTGTGAGATGGTATCTCATTGTGGTTTTGATTTGCATTTATCTGATGGCGAGTGATGATGAGCATTTTTTCATGTGTCTGTTGGCTGTATGAATGTCTTCTTTTGAGAAGTGTCTGTTCATATCCTTTGCCCACTTTTTGATGGGGGTGTATTGTTTTTCTCTGAATTGTTTGAGTTTGTAGGTTCTGGATATTAGCCCTTGGTCAGATGAGTAGATTGCAAAAATTTTCTCCCATTCTGTAGGGTCGCCTGTTCACTCTGATGGTAGTTTCTTTTGCTGTGCACAGAAGCCTCTTAGTTTACTTAGATCCCATTTTGTCATTTTTGCTTTTGTTGCCATTGCTTTTGGTGTTTTAGACGTGAAGTCCTTGCCCATGCCTGTGTCCTGAATGGTATTAATCCTAGGTTTTCCTTCTAAGGGTTTTTAATGGTTTTAAGTCTACACATTAAGTCCATCTAATCCATCTTGAATTCAATTTCGTATAAGGAAGTAAGGAAAGGATTCTCAGTTTCAGCTTTCTGAACTTATGCGCTAACCAAGTTTCCCAGCACCAATTTATTAAATAAAGGGAACCTTTTTTCATTTCATTTGTTTGCGTCAGGTTTGTCAAGAGATCAGATGGCTGTAGATGTGTGGTATTATTTCTGAGGGCTCTGTTCTGTTCCATTGGTCTATATCTCTGTTTTGGTACCAGTACCATGCTGTTTTGGTTACTGTAGCCTTGTAGTATAGTTTGAAGTCAGGTAGCGTGATGCCTCCAGCTTTGTTCTTTTGGCTTAGGAGTGTCTTGGCAATGCAGGGTCTTTTTCGGTTCCATATGAACTTTAAGGTAGTTTTTTTCCAATTCTGTGAAGAAAGTCATTGGTAGCTTGATGGGGATGGCATTGAATCTATAAATTACCTGGGGCAATATGACTCTTTTCACAATATTGATTCTTTCTATCCATGAGCATGGAATGCTCTTCCATTTGTTTGTGTTCTCTTTTATTTCACGGAGCAGTGGTTTGTTGTTCTCCTTGAAGAGGTCCTTTGCGATGTACACTAGTACTATTTATTGCCTAGAAGAAACCAATATAATAAACTATCTTTCAAAACTATTCTTATGCATGTTTAAACATTTTACAACAGGTGTGCATAGTCATATTTAATATGTAAAATATTTTTCAACTTCCAATGCGTATATGGTGGAACAGTGTAATTTTCGGCAACATTGTTTTTCGATAAGCATTATAATTTTTAGAGATATCCATAGTGGACACAATTAACTGTGTTTTTAAATATTAGGTGGCTTATAAAATTCCATTGTATGAATGTACCATAGTTAACTACACAATTTTTATGCTGATAAGTAATAAATAAAAATGAAAACAAGCAGATTTCAGTCTTTAAGTTAGTTTTATATACTGAATTTTTAGTTATTGGAAATTAAAACTAAAATATTTAAAGTATTTCCTTGTGCAGTCATACATCCCACTAACAATTCGAACTGTGACCCACACATTATAGAGCTACAGTGTTGCAACTTGTCAGATCTTGAAACCATCCAGGGTACACTTCTAAAAATGAGTGAAAATGGTGACATACCAAAGTATGATTTGGTTTCTTGGACCCTGTGCATGAAATGTGAACTTTACGGATGTTGAGATCACAAGTTAAATATAATTTTCTGCATTTTAATGAATGATATAACATTAAATGTCAGATATTTTAGATTTCAATTCTAACGGATTGACTACAGAAGTAGTGATTGTAATCGACAAAAAGACTATACGAGCTACACTTCTATAATCTGAGAGGAAAACACCTCAGATTCGTGAATGAAAGTAGATTTGTATATGTTTTTAAAGTTTATAGTAGAGAAAAGTTCTCATGAATGTATCTGTGATTAACCTTTTATAGCTCAGATGTTCCAATCAGAATCCAAACCAAAGGACAATGAAGAAAATTCCTTGGATTTTGAGGTACTGTGTATTATTGATTTTTTTAAATATTAGTATTGCATGATACGAAAACATAAAATCAGAGGCTTAGACTTTCTCACCTCTGCATATGTCACTACCAAATTATGTTTGATATTTTTCAGAATACGCTTAATAGAGAATTTATGTGCTAAGTAGATAACTGCATCATGGTGAAGTTCTGCTAATTTCTCGGATTAATTTAAGAAGCCAGTGGGGTACAGTGTAAAAAAAAAGGCTTAGAAGTCACTAGAAATTCACATGGGATCTGAAGTACGTTTGTCTAAAAGCAAAAGAATTATACCGGGTCCAGCTGTGGGCAGATTTATGACTCTGTGGTATATCTAGAAGTACAAAATTTCTAAATGGATTCATAGAGAGAGAGTCTACATTGCAGTATTCTAAAAGTTGGTACCTGAAAAGTTAATGCCTGGGACTCGAACGTATTGACACTTCTATATTGTTCAGTATAGACCTGAGGGAACATTTCAGGAGAAAGAAAAGCATGAGGAATAGGAAACCTTGTGGGACCATAAAAACAAGAGTAGAGGTTGAGTAGTCTTTTGAAAAATATAAGTTATTTTCACAAATAGAACTCCTCGAGTCCCTTTATGACTGGCAGTCAAGTTGCAGCAGCATGAGCGTCAAACAATAGTGATGTATTTTAAGGTCACAACTGTGGAAAGACATAGAAAATATCTGACCTCTTAGAAATAAGCAGCTCCTGCCTGGTGGTAACAGCAAAGGGTGGAGGGCAATAGACAAGTAGATTTTATCTGATTTGTCATCAGATAAAAAGAATTTAATATTTGCTTGCTTTCATTTAGATACAACATATTTTTTTCTTACTGCATTTACATTCTATTCAAGCACTTTTTCTATCAGCAAAAATTTTGTTAAAAACATGTTGCCTGTTTTAAGCTCTTGTTTACCAAAATAAAGAAGCGTTTTCAACATCTATGCATACATTACATGACAGACTCTCAAAGTTCTCTTCATGACATGCATCATTTTTAACACTAAACGATTCTCTGATCATGAATAGTTTAAATGTTTAATGCGGTATGTGTTATGGCAACTAGCAAGTGTATTGTATTTTGTTTGAAATGTCATGTTTATTTTTGATGAGGACTACAACACAAGCTAGATATTTTTAAGAGAGTTACTTTTTGAAATACGCAGGAGTGAATTATTTCGTGCATGTGATTTGTTTTTCCTGCTCAGTAACCAAGTTAATCGCATCATGAACGTAAAGATAAACTTGATATAGAGAGCGTTACGTGAGGTTTTCTATCAAAATGTTTTGGGTTTCAACACACGTCTGCTCTTAAGTCAAATTGCTTGTAAAGTAGGAAACTGTGCTTTTCAAAAAGATTTTAATGAGGAAATTTTGATACTCTTCATTATTGGGATTTCTCCATTGAAATTATTTATTGATATTACTTTTAACAGAATTTCCTTGAGAATGTTTTACAGAATGATGAATGTTTACCCAAGGCTACACATCAAAAAGAATTCAGTAAAATAAGTGGAAAATTAGAAGGTAAGAACCATTTTGATTTAAAAAGTCTTTTGACCAAGTATTTCTGTAAACAGATGAGGAAGGATATCACCAAAGAGCCGAAGAAAAGTACCTCCTAAATGCAAAGCATGGAAAAAATGTGAAGTGAAATTGTGATAAATTGTACCTCTTATCAGGTGTTGGCAACAGACTACATTGAGAGCGCTGAAAGGAAACTGAATTGTTAGTTTGAATTCAAGATATTCCAAGACCTGAGGAAAATGAGAAAATAAGAAAGAAGACAGTAATAAAAGAGGAAATGAAGACAGAGAAAGACAGAGAGTACACAGAGTACAGGAAGGAACGAGAAGCAAGTTTATATAATGCGGGATGGCAAAATGAAATGATTCTTTAGGAAAGGATTGGGTATGGTTAGAAATTTGGGAAGAATATAAAGTGACCTTCCAGTACCAAAAATTACCAGAGAATTAGTGCAAAAATACTGTGATTCTTTTCAACTTTCTCAGTGGTGGGAAGCCATGAGGGATGGAAGCACTTCACCATGGGGAGCTGTGTTGTATTTGCAGTAGGTGGGAATAAGCATATATGCACGGCCACTAATGTATGTAATTTCTCATATACACTCCGTATAGAGCAGGAGTGTTCAAAATTTAGAAAATCAGCTGGAAACCTTGTTAAAAATTCACACTGTGATTCAGCCGACTTGGGATACTGCATTTTTAATAAGATGTCAGGTGATGTTGTTGCTGGTTGTCCTTAGACCTTGCCCTGAGTAGCAAGAGGAGAGGCCTTTCGTGGGAGAAATGTGGAGGGAGAGCAATTGGATATAGAAAGTGAAGACAGAAAAGGGTCAGGAGAAAGCATTATGTTGCTCTTAATTTTGAGTACGTTTTTAACCAGAGAAGAAGAAGAAAGAAAATTCAGAATGTTGTACTTGAATACTTAAATTGTTGTTATTCATAGGTACCGTACTGATATTAATATAGAAAATGTTATTAATATTTAAGAAGTCTGTTGCAACTAAATGTGAAACAGATATATCAATATTGAAAGCGTATTTGCTATTCCTGATGAGTTTTGTACATCTTCCTCCATGAGTGGATCAAGAAATATTGAGATTGCTAAGCTACAAATTACAAAAATGTTGGCATACCACTATACCATCTGGGTATGAAAATCAGTGAATATTTATATTGAGTATTATTCTCTAAGTATATATCCAAGATGATAAATTCATAACACTTTCACTGATGACATGTGAATTCTACATTCAGCTGAACTCTCATCTGAACGGTGTACATTCTCAATGACGGGACATGGTAAAGAGCATGATGAATGCCTGCAATATAATGATATATATTATTTTAATGTGTTGCGTTGAGGACACAGCGTAGCATTTTTCGTTCAGCTTTTGCATTTATTTTCTCAGTGTCATGATTTGCTCCTCTGATTCAAGATCACTTCTGTCCTCATCACTCAGCATATACATATTGGTATTAACACTTTTTGCAAACATCACATATAAATGGTTGTACCGTGTTCTTGTCATTCCACAGCAACTTTGTTTTGTTCGGCGATTAGCTCGCCTTTCATTTATTTTAAGATTTCAGGCCGGGCGCAGTGTCTCACGTCTGTAATCTCAGCACTGTGGGAGGCCGAGGCTGGTGGATCACGAGGTCGGCAGATCGAGACCATCCTGGCTAACATGGTGAAACCCCGTCTCTACGAAAACATACAAAAAATTAGCCGGGCTTGGTGGCGGGCACCTGTAGTCCCAGCTACTCGGGAGGCTGAGGCAGGAGAATGCGAGAACCCGGGAAGTGGAGCTTGTAGTGAGCCGAGATCACCCCACTGCACTCCAGCCTGGGCGCCAGGACGGGACTCCGTCTAAAAAACAACAAAAAAAGATTTTATAGTGTGCATATTGCATGTTCATATAGCACCACGTTTAATTAGACTCTCTTCGTGATGAATCAAAAGAAACATAAATATGATTAGAGATGCCAACAAGCCTTTAAGTGTATGTCCTGCTTCATGCTATATTAGAAATTAAAAGTGAAGTATTTAATACACAAGTATGCAAAGCCATACATTTCAATAGCCATTACAAATGTGGCTCCCTAATCTTTAGAGGTATGCAATGTGACCTGTCCTGACTCTAAAAAATCTCCAGCGTACCCCTTTATAAAAATAAAAGTAATAAAAGAAAATAACTAAGGTAATATTTCCTGGATTGTGAACTTCAAGGAAAATCAGATCACAAGTTAGAAATAGAGTTTTCAACTATACCTAAGATTCCTAAATTCCAAGTGATAAATGGTTCCTTGATGATGAGATAGCTCTGAATGTTTCATCTCTGCCTGTTTTGCTTTTTTATCTTGTCTTAGAAAAGTGAAAGCCAGCTCTTTTCTTCCTAAAGGAAAATATTTTGGTTACATATTCATTGCCTATCTCATGGCACTCTGCTGTCTTTGCCCTTAGTGAAGATGTACATTTGTCGTATTTTTAACTAAAACGAGCACATGAATTAATGGTATCAATTCTCATATCTGAATTTCTCAGGTTTCTTCAGTGCTTCAGATGTAAGTTTTAAAGATATTAAGGAATCGAGAACGACCTTCTCATTGTAATTAAAGCAGATTTTTATTTAAAGCGTATCGGATACAATGTTAAGCACTTTTTTCCTAAAACACATACATGCAATATGATCATGCGTATTTAGCCTTAAAATGGTTAGACATAAATTTGGTGTATTTTAGAGGGTTAATATCCCTGAAGTGCCTTAATTGAGAGATGATCAATCATCTCTCAAGGGAAACAACATGTATAAATGATTTTTCTAAATATATTAAAGTATGTCATAGTGAAAAATAAAAAAGTAGAGAAAACTGAGAGATCAAGCGTATTTTATTAATATTATTTGATGAACGGGATATATTTCTATGTGAAAGAAATGTCTGGTTTTTCTTGAAGCTAAGTGTTTTATAAAGCTTTTTGTTGTTGTTGTTGTCTTTATTTTTGTTGAGACAGAGTCGCGCTTTGTCACCCAGACTGGAGTACAGTGGCCATATCTCAGGTCACTGCAAGCTCCGCTTTCCGGGTTTACGTCATTCTCCTGCCTCAGCCTCCCCAGTAGCTGGGACTACATGCGTCCGCTACCTCACCCAGCTAGGTTTTTGTATTTTTTAGCACAGATGGAATTTCACCGTGTTAGCCAGGATGGTCTTGATCTCTGACTTCGTGATCTGACCGTCTTGGCCTCCCAAAGTGCTGGGATTACAGGCTTGAGCCACCGCGCTCCGCCAAGAGCTTTTTCATAACAGTAGTTTAACAACTCATATGGTATAACAAATAGAATAAATTTTAGCAACAAAGCAATTGTGGAATTCATTCTTTGAACGCTGAAATTGTTATTTTCAATAACCATTATTCTAACATTGCAACACGCAGGTTAATGATACGTAAAAAGTCTCTGGAAATTGACTTCTAGTTTTTGATACTTTCATATCAGGTTTTTTTTTTTCTTTTTTTTGAGACAGAATCTCGCTCTGTCATCCAGGCTGTAGTGCAGTGGCATGATCTTGGCTAACTGCAACCTCCGCCTCCTGGGTTCAAGTGATTCTCGTAGCTCAGGCACCCGAGTGGCTTGGGTTCCAGGCATGTGCCACGATACCTGGATGATTTTTGTATTTTTGTGAAGACAGGTTTCGCTATTTTGGCCAGGCTCGTTTGCAACCCCTGGCCTCGAGAGATCCGCCCTCCTCGGCCTTCCGAAATGCTGGAATTACAGGCATGAGCCACTGCACTGGACCTGGATTAGTTTGTTGATGGGTATGTAGAATTTTAAGAGGACTAAACTAGAGAACCCCATAAATGGAAAAATACTCATATTTCACACAGGTACAAAAATGAACATATTTATTAACTATTATTCTGTAAGTAGATATTTATGCTGATAAATTTAGAACATTTTCTGCAATGATAAGTGAATTGTACCTTTGAACCCTCATCGCAAATTTGCAATTTCTAAACTACAGGACAAATTGAAGAACATAAGGGCTACTTGTAGTATTTTGACATAAGTGATTCTTCTGTGTTTCCTTAACTATATACCATCATCTTGGACATTTCGTTTTTTTGGGGGAAGCGGGGGGTCATGACTTGGTCATCTTACTGAATACAACTTCTTTCCTTATACGGCAGCTTACTCCTACTGGTATTAGGATTTTTCTGCTTTAGTTATTGTCACTTTAAATATCTTTTCACTGTGGAAATCTTCACAGCGTGTTTGATGAAATTTATTTGTTAAATTTACTTAGGGATATTTCTGTCACGTTGATATGTTAATAAAGACAATCACCCAAAAGACCCCACAACCTAGTGTAATCCCTTTTTCCATCCAAGCATGGGGATTCATCTTCATATTCACACTGTGTGAATGTTTGGTAGGCTTTGTCAGGCTTGCGTAATATCAATTGTATATGTCCCTTTTCTTTTAGAGTCTTCTGATAAAGATGGTCTTCTGCAGGTAACAACTTCTGTTTTTTTATCTTGAATATTAACTACATATTTTATGAAGTATACATTATATATTAATTATTTTATTTCCAAACCCATTTAGCCTACCGGTGTAATGAAAGCTTCCAATCCAAATAAAGCCTTAGAATTGAAGGACAGAGAAACATTCAAAGCAGGTAAATTTTGTAATTTTAATTTTACTCTGGAAAGAAGAATATTAAAATATTTGAAATGCTGAGAGCCTTTTTATTCCCAGTGTTGTTTTCTTTTCAAAATTTGATGGGAAATCTTGGTTCAAATAATGCCAATGTTAGTATTTATGTTTGAGAGAATGCTATTTACAAGCATAAGATTAAGAGTTTAAAAAAATATTCTGCTTAACCTCATGTGGTTCAACTTTAATGTCCTGATAGTATAAAGTTTCCAATTTGCAATTTCTGTACGTGCTTGGTTTTCAGGCAGGTGAATTTTGAGACTGTGAAATATTTGCAGTGGTTCAAACGCTGATTGGAATTCTGATCTTAGAGGAAAGTTTCACTTGCTAACATGACAGTTGTGAGTGTTGTCACTCTGAGAATCCAAAGAAAATCAGTTTCTTTTTTTCTGATTTGGTGACTGAGTGTGTGTGTTGGGGGGGGTGTGTGTGTGTGTGTGTGACTTATAATTTTAAAAAATCACGACTTGATGGCTCTTTGCTAGACACAGTGTTTTAGAAGAGTGACTCTAAAGCATTTGAGTCACTTTTTATGCTACTGTAATTAATTGCCTAGAGGTGCAAAACAGCCTGGATTAGTTTTGGTTGTCATTCCCAGGCACGTTTGAAACATTTTACACCAGGCTGTGCACGGTGACACATGCCTGTAATCCTAGCATTTCGGGGGACCAAGGCGGGCAGATAACTGAAGGTCAGGAGTCCCAGACCAACCTGGTCAACATAGTGAAACCCCATCTCTACAAAAAATAACCAAAAATTGCCGGTTGCGGTGGTGGGTGCCTGTAATCTCAGCTACTCTGGAGGCTGATGCAGGAAAATCGCTTGAACTGAGTTGCATTGAGCCGAGCTTGTGCCACTTTAAGCCTGAGTGACAAAGCGAGACTGCATCTCACAAAGCAAACAAACAAACAAAATTTCACAGCCTGTGTGTGTGGTTATAGACGATGTGTAGAATTTGTTTTCATGTCTTAAATTTTCTTTTTTCTTTCTTTTCTTTTTTTTCGAGAGGGAGTCTCGCTTTCTGGCCCAGGCTGGGGAGCAGTGGCGGGATCTCGGCTCACTTTAAGCTCCGCCTCCCGTGTTCAAGGCATTCTCCTGCCTCAGCCTCCGGAGTGCTGGGACTACAGCCGCCCAACACAATGCCGTCCGGCTAACTTTTTGTATTTTTTTAGGAGAGACGGGGTTTCACCATGTTAGCCAGGATGGTCTCGATCTGCTGACCTGGTGATCCTCCCACCTCGGCCTCCCAAAGTGCTGGCTCTACAGCCGGTAGCCATCGCACCCTGCCCCAGAGTCTTTTTACACTAGTTCAATTTATTGTCTAGAAGTGACCAATATTCTAAACTACTTTTTAAAACAATTCTTATCCATGTTTAAATATTTTACAACATGTGTGCGTGGTCATATTTAATATGTAAAATTTTTTCTACTTCTAATGCGTATATGGTTGTACAGTGTAATTTTTGGCAATATTCTTTTATAATCAGCATGACAATTTTAAGAGACATCCATAATGGATACAATTAACTGTGTTTTTTAATATTAGGTTGTGTATAAGGTTCCATTGTATGATTGTACCATAATTAACTATACAATTTTTATGCTGATAAATAATAAATAAAAATGAAAACATGCAGATTTCAGAGTCTTTATATTAGTTTTATCTACTGACTTAGATAAGTCTCTACTGTAATAGAAATTGCGGAGTCAGTAAAACTAAATAATACTACAAAATGAATATTTACTTCGAAATGAGAGATTATAGGTAATTAAAGTTTCCTGAAAGAACAGCAAGTATAGAATTTACTGTGTTTCATGGGAGAAGAGAAAATGACTGCTTTGTAAAGAAAAAATTCATACGAGTTAGTCCAATTTCTTTTTTTCTGCATTGTAATGAATGCTATAATGTTAATTTTCAGGCTTTTTAGATTTCATTTCTAATGGGTTGGCTATAGAAGTAGTGACAGTAATTGACAAAAAGAATATACTGTCTACAGAGGGAAAAAACCTCAGATTTGTGAATTAAAGTAGATTTGTATGTGTTTTTAAAGTTTACAGTAGAGAAATGTTGTCATGAATGTATCTGTGATTAACCTTTATAGCTCAGAAGTTCCCATCAGAATCCAAACAAAAGGACGATGAAGAAGATTGTTTGAATTTTGAGGTACTGTGTATAATTGATTTTTAAAAATATTAGTATTACATGATATGAAAACGTAAAATCAGAGGCTTAGACTTCATTTTCTCATCTCCTCATATGTTCCCCCCAAATTATTTTTGATATTTTTCAGAATACACTTATAGAGAGTCTATGTGCTAAGTAGATTACTGCTACGTAGTGACATTCTGCTAATTTCTAGGATTAATTTAAGAAGCCAGTGTGCTATAGTGTAAAAAATAAGGCTTAGAAGTCACTACAAATTCATGTGGGATCTGAAATAAGTTTGTCGAAAAGTGAAAGAACTACACTGAGTCCTGCTGAGGACAAATTTATGATTCTGTGGTGTATCTAGATGTACAAGAGTTCTAATTGAATTCATAGAGAGACAGTTTAAACTGCAGTATAGTAAAAGTTGGGGCCCGAAAAATTAATGCTGGGAATTGACCCATTGACATTTCTTTCTTGTTCAGGATAGATCTGAAGGAACATTTTAGGAGAAAGAAAAGCATGAAGAATAGGGAACCTTGTGGGACTATAATAACAAGAGTATTGGTTGAGTAGTCTTTTGAAAAATATAAATTATTTTCACAAAACAACTCCTTGAGTCCCTTTATGGCAGGCAGTCAAGCTGCAGCAGCATGAGCGTCAAATAATAGTGATGTATTTTAAGGTCACAGCTGTGGAAAGACATGGACAATGTCTGACCTTTTAGAAATAAGCAGCTGCTGCCTGGTGGTAAGAGCAAAGGGTGGAAGTCAATAGACAAATAGATTTTATCGGATTTGTCATCAGACAAAAAGACTTTAATATTTGTTTGCTTTTGTTCAGACATGATATAATTTTTCTTTCTTACTGCATTTACATTCTATTGAAGCACTTTTTCTATCAGCATAATTCTGTCAAAAACATGTTGGTTGTTTTAAGCCCTGTTTACCAAAATAAAGCAGCTTTTCAACATTCTGTAGATACATTATTTGACAGACTCTAAAAGTTCTCTTCATGACCTGCATCATTTATAACACTGAGCAATTCTATCCTCATGAATAGTTTAAATGTTTAATGTGGCACGAGTTATGGCAAAAAGCGAGTGCATTGTGTTTTGTTTGAAATGTCGTATTTATTTTTGCTGAGGACTACAATACAAGTTAGATATTTTTGAGAGAATTACTTTTTGAAATATGCATGAGTGATTATTTTCGTGCATGTGATTTGTTTTTCCTGCTCAGTAACCAAGCTCATATCGTCATGAATGTAAAGATAAACTTGATATAGAGAGTGTTACGTGAGATTTTCTATCAAAATGTTTTGGGTTTCAACGCATGTCTGCTCTTAAGTCGAATTGCTTGTAAAGTAGGAAACTGTGTTTTACAAAAAGATTTCAATTGGGAAATTTTGATACTCTTCATTACTGCCATTTCTGCATTGAAATTATTTATTGATATTACTTTTAACAGAATTTCCTTGAGGATCTTTTACAGAATGATGTGTATTTACCCAAGGCTACACATCAAAAAGAATTCGATACAATAAGTGAAAAATTAGAAGGTAAGAGTCATTTTTTATTTAAAAAGTCATTTGACCAAATATTTCTCTAAACTGATGAGTAAGGATATCCTCTAATATTCGAAGAAAGTCACCTCCTAAATGCAAATATAGAAAAAAACAGAATTGAAATGGGTAGTAAATTCTACATCTTATCAGGTGTTGGCAACAGACTACATTGAGAGTGCTGAAAGGGATCTGAATTATTAGTTTGAATTCAAGATATTCCAAGACCTGAGGAAAGTGAGAAAACAAGAAAGAAGACAGTGGTAAAAGAGGAAATGAAGACTGAGAAAGACAGACAGTACACAGAGTACAGGAAGGAACAAGAAGCAGGTTTAATATAATGGAGGATAGTAAAATGAAATGATTCTTTAGGAAAAGATCGGGTATGGTTAGAAATTTGGGAAGAATATAAAGTGACCTTCTAGTATGAGAACTTACCAGAGAATTAGCGCAAAAATATTGTGACTCTTCCTGTCTTTCTCACTGGTGGGAAGCCATTAGGGATGGAAGCACCTGACCATGGAGAGCTGTGTTGTATTTGCAGTAGGTGAGAATAAGCATATATGCACGGCCACACGTGTATGTAATTTGTCACATACACTCCGTATAGACCACAAGTTTTCAGACGTTAGAAAATCAGCAGGAAACCTTGTTAACAATTCACACTGTGATTCAGCCGACTTGGGATTCTGCATTTTTAATAAGTTGTCAGGCGATGCTGATGCTGGTTGTCCTTGGACCTTGCTCTGAGTAGCAAGAGGAGAGGCCTTTCGTGGGAGAAATGTGGAGGGAGAGCAATTGGATATAGAAGGTGAAGACAGAAAAGGGTCAGGAGAAAGCATTATGTGGCTCTTATTTTTGAGTACATTTTTAGCCAGAGAAGAAGAAGAAAGAAAATTCAGAATGTTGTACTTGAATACTTAAATTGTTGTTATTCATAGGTACTGTACTTATATTAATATAGAAAATGTTATTAATATTTAAGAAGTCTGTTGCAACTAAATTTGAAGCAAATATGTCAATATTGAAAGCGTATTTGCTATTCCTGATGAGTTTTGTACATCTTCCTCCATGAGTGGATCAAGAAATATTGAGATGGCTGAGCTACAAATTACAAAAATGTTGGCATACCATTATGCCATCTGGGTATGAAAATCAGTGAATATTTATATTGAGTATTTTTCTCTAAGTATATATCCAAGCTGATCAATTCATAACACTTTCACTGATGAGATGTGAATTCTACATTCTGCTGAACTCTCATCTGAACGGTGTACATTCTCAATGACAGGACATGTTAAAGAACATGATGATTGTAATGTAATGATATACATTATTATAACGTGTTGCATTGAAGTCACTGTGTAGCATTCTCCATCCAGCTTTTGCATTTATTTTCTCAGTGTCATGATTTGCTCCTCTGATTCAAGATCACTTCTGTCCTCATCACTCAGCATATACATATTGGTATTAACACTTTTTGCAAACATCATATATAAATGGTTGTACCATGTTCTTGTCATTCCACAGCAACTTTGTTTTGTTCAGCGATTAGCTCGCCTTTCATTTATTTTAAGATTTCAGGCCGGGCGCAGTGTCTCACGCCTGTAATCTCAGCACTGTGGGAGGCCGAGGCTGGTGGATCACGAGGTCGGCAGATCGAGACCATCCTGGCTAACATGGTGAACCCTGTCTCTACGAAAACATACAAAAAATAAGGTCGGGCGTCGTGGCAGGCGCCTGTAGTCCCCAGCTACTCGGGAGGCTGAGGCGGAGTAATGCAAGATCCCGGGAAGCGGAGCTTGCAGTGAGCCGAGATTGTGCCACTGCCACTCCAGCCTGGGCAACATGTCGGAACTCCGTCTAAAAAACAACAATAAAAAAAGATTTCATAGTGTGCATATTGCATGTTCACATAGCACCACGTTTAATTAGACTCTTTTCATGATGACTCAAAAGCAACATAAATATAATTACAGATGTCAACAAGCCTTTGTGTAAGTGTATGTCCTGCTTCATGCTATATTCGAAATTAAAAATGAAGTACTTAAAATACAAGTATGTACTCCCACACATTTCCATAGCCATTACAAATGTGGCTCACTAATCATTAGAGCTATGCAATGTGTCCTGTCCTGACTCTAAAATCTCCAGTGCACTCCTTTATAAAAACAATAGTAATTAAAATCATAGATAAGGTTGTATTTCCCTACTTGGTTCCTCTGCGTGGGTTTTGAACTTCAGGGATAATCGGATCACAATTTAGAACCAGAGTTTTCGACCACACCTAGGATTCCTAAATGCCAAGTGATAGACGGTTCCTTGATGATGAGATAGCTCTAAATGTTTCATCTGTGCCTGTTTTGCTTTTTTGTCTTGTCTTAGCAACCAAGTTAAAGCCTGGTATTTTCTTTACAAAGGGAAATATTTTGGTTACATATTCATTTCCTATCTTGTGGCATTCTGCTTTCTTTACACTTTATTCAGGATGTACACTTATCCTATTTTTACCTAAAACAAGCAGATGAATTAATGGTATCAATTCTCATATATGAATTTCTAAGATTTCTTCAGTGTTTCAGAAATAAATTGTAAAGATATTACTGAATTGAGAACGATCTCATTGTAATTAAAGCAGGTTTTTATTTAAAGAGTATTGATTATAATTTTAAGCACTTTTTTTCTAAAATGCATACATGCAATATGGTCATGCATATTTAGCCTTAAAATGGTTAGACATAAATTTTGCGTGTTTTAGAGAGTTTGTATCCCTGAATTGTCTTAATTATTGATCAATCATTTCAAGGGAAACAGCATATATACTTGATATCTCTAAATATATTAAAGGATGTCATACTGAAAAATTAAAAAGTAGGGAAAAATTAGAGATTAAGCATGTTTTATTATTATTTGATGAAAGGAGATATATTTCTGTGTCAAAGAAATGTCTGTTTTTTCTTGAAGCTAAGTTTTTTATAAGAGCTTTTTCATAACGCTAGTTTAACAACTTATAGTAAAACAAATAGAATAAGTTTTAGCAACAAAGCAATTGTCGAATTCATTCCTTGAACACTAAAACTGTTACTTTCTATAACCATTATTCCAAACTTGAATTACGCAGGTTAATGATATATAATAAGGCTCTGGAAATTGACTTCTAGTTTTTGATACTTTCATATTAGGTTTTTTTTTTTTCTCTTTTGAGACAGAGTCTCGCTCTGTCATCCGGGCTGGAGTGTAGTGGCATGATCTTGGGTAACTGCAACCTCCGCCTCCTAGGTTCAAGTGATGCTCGTAGCTCAGGCTCCCAAGTAGCTTGGGTTCCTGGCATGTGCCACCATACCTGGCTGATTTTTGTATTTTTTGTGGAGACAGGGTTTCGCTATTTTGGCCAGACTGGTTTGCAACTCCTGGCCTTGAGACATCCACCCTCCTCAGTCTTCCAAAGTGCTGGAATTACAGGCATGAGCCACTGCACTGGGCCTGGATTAGTTTGTTGATAGGTACGTGTTGACCTTTTTGTATAAATGGATCAGAAATTTTAAGAGGACTAAACTAGAGAACCCCATAAATGTAAAAATAATCGTATTTCACAGAGGTACAAAATGAATTTATTTATTAACTTTTATTCTATAAGTGAATATTTATGCTGATAAATTTAGAACATGCAATGATAAGTGAAATGTACCTTTGAACCCTCATCGCAAATTTGCAATTCCTAAATTGCAGGACAAATTGAAGAACATAATAGCTACTTGTAGTATTTTGACCTAAGTGATTCTCATGTGTTTTCTTAAGCATATGCCACTGCATTTTGCCGTTAGCTTGGACATTGTTTTGTGTGTGGGGGCGGGGTGTCATGACTTGGTCATCTTACTAAATACAACTTCTTTCCTTTATGGCAGCTTACTCCTACTGGTATTAGGATTTTTCTGCTTAAGTTATTGTCACTTTAAATATCTTTTCACTGTTGAAATCTTCACAGCGTGTTTGATGAAATTTATTTGCTAAATTTACTTAAGAATATTTCTGTCACATTGGCATGCTAACAAAGACAATCACCCAAAAGACCCCACAACCTAGTGTAATCCCTTTTCCATCCAAGCATGGGGATTCATCTTCATATTCACACTGTGTGAATGTTTGGTAGGCTTTGTCAGGCTTGCATATTATCAATTATATATGTCCCTTTTCTTTTAGAGTCTTCTGATAAAGATGGTCTTCTGCAGGTAACAACTTTTCTATTTTTATCTTGAATATTAACTACATATTTTATGAAGTATACATTATATATTATTTTATTTCCAAACCCATTTAGCCAACCTGTGGAATGAAAGTTTCTATTCCACATAAAGCCTTAGAATTGAAGGACAGAGAAACATTCAAAGCAGGTAAATTTTGTAATTTTAATTTTACTCTGGAAAGAAGAATATTAAAATATTTGAAATGTTGAGAGCGTTTTTATTCCCAATGTTGTTTTCTTTTCAAAATTTGTTGGGAAAAGTTGGTACAAATAATGCCCATGTTAGTATTTATGTTTGAGAAAATATCATTTACAAGTATAAGATTTAGAGATTTTAAAAATAATTGTGCTTAACCTCATGTGATTCTACTTTAATGTTCTGATAGTATAAAGTTTACAATTTGCAATTTCTGTACGTGCTTAGTTTTCAGGCAGATGAATTTTGAGACTGAATTATTTGCAATGGTTCAAATGCTGATTGGAATTCTGATCTTTACTTAGGGAAAGTTTCACTTGCTGACACGACAGTTGTTAGTGTTGTCACTCTGAGAATCGAAAGAAAATCAGTTTCTTTTTTTCTGATTCGGTAACTGAGTGTGTGTGTGTGTGTGACTTATAATTTTAAAAAATCATGACTTGATGGCTCTTTGCTAGACACAGTGTTTTAGAAGAGTGACTCTAAAGCATTTGGCCTTGGTGTCTTTATGCTCTTATAAATTGCCTAGAGGTAGAAAGCAGCCTAAATTAGTTTTTGTTGTCATTTCCACGCATGTTTAAACCATTTTACACCAGGCTGTGCACAGTAGCACATGCCTGTAATCCTAGGATTTTGGGAGACCACGGCGGGCAGATAACTGAAGGTCAGGAGTCCCAGACCAACCTGGTCAACATAGGGAAACCCCATCTCTACTAAAAATAACAAAAAATTGCCGGTTGTGGTGGTGGGTGCCTGTAATCTCAGCTACTCTGGAGGCTTAGGCAGGAGAATCACTTGAACCTAGGAGGCAGAATTTGCAGTGAGCGGAGATTGTGCCACTCCAGCCTTGCTAACAGAGTGAGACTGCATGTCAAAAAGCAACGAACAAACCAAACCAAACAAACAAACAAACAAACAAATAAAAAAAACAGAAATTCACAACATATGTGTGTGGTTATAGACTATGTGTAGAATTTGTTTTCATGTCTTAAATTTTCAATAAATAGTTGTCCCTTGTACATATTTTATTGGAACTTCCTTTCTTTTTACTTTTCTTATATTTTAGATCTACTCAATACAGTTAGCTCTGCTTTGATTTAAGGCTCCATATTTTGTGATTTTAACTCTAAAGCACATTTAATTAGGCTGTCTTTCATAGCCACTAAAAGTCAACATCAAATGACAGCTTATATCCGAGAGCTTTTATTGAAGTCGGAGTATTTACTGCTTCAACTAATGTTAGAAATTAAAATGAAAATATTTAAAATACAGGAATGCATTTTAAATATTTATGTTTTGGGGATGGAGTTTTACTTTTTCATCCAGACTGGAGTGCAATGGTGTGATCTTACCTCACTACCACCTCTACCTCCTGGACTCAAGTGATTCTCCTACATCTTCCTCCAAGTACAAACACTCATTTGTAAACCAGTCACTAGAAAAGCAAATGTTATTACTGTGATTAGCTTAGAAGAATGATTTCTCATTTTGTAGATGAGATGGGAGTAATGGAATAATAAATGTATAAATAAACTTGTGTTTCTGCCGTAAGAAAGAAAAAACAATTTCTATGCATTGGAAGCCAGCAATATTTTCTGCAGGGATTGATTAGAATTGTTTGAGCAGGGGAGTCCCAAGATTAGATTTAAGTGTCAGAGCATTCTGGTCATGGTATAAACCAACAATTGGCAAATTTTTCTTGTAAAGCGCCAAACAGAAAATATGTTAGGTGATGTGGTCCCTATCACAGCTTTTCAACTCTGCCATTGTAGCATTAAAGTAGTCATAGATAATGTGTGAAGAAATAGGCATGATTTTACTCCAATAAAACTTCATCTGAAATCCGTTTGGTAAGCTGAATTTGGAATTTCATAACCATGGGTCGTGGAATACAGCTGTTTGCATTATGTCCCTTAATTGAGCCTGTGATACCAAGACTCCACTAGCTTTAAGCAACTTTTTCAACACTTTTATATACTGTTTCTGTTGTGTCGATAACTGTTGCTCCATGATGAAACCCTAGCCTGAACTATTTCCCCCGAACTTGGAAATCCTGAGCGGGTACCATTGACTTACTTACTCACTGACTGTGCAGTCCTTTTCACCTTCATTTATGAGGGGTCTGTCACAATTCTTTCGCAGCGTTCATCTTGTGGGGCACCACCTGCTGGGTCCATCCCAGGGACCCTGAACTAGGGATGGATGAGAGATGTACACTGAAACAGATGTTTTGCCTGTCAGTGCGGCTAAGGGGCTCTGCTGCCTGAGTGTGCATTGTTGGCCTCGATAAGCCTGCAAAGTCTGCATTTATTTGGTACAGAATAAATGACAAACATCTTGAGTAAACATCACTAGAAGATAATTAACATTGCCAACCCCCAGTACAAAACAATCATGTACCCTCGGATGATCAAAGTTTTGTCTTAGGACCACATGAGTAAACAAGGTATTTAGATAAACTCCTCCACATTCCCTAGATATTTCCTCTATTGCTACCAACTAAAAGTAAAGAGGATTAGGCTACTTTCAGCCAAATCATTTACTGGCCACTGGCTTTCCCAGAAGGTTTTTGTCTATTTCCTAAAACTATCTTTATAATTTTTCTAACCACTTTGTCTGATCCCCTACAGGTAGAGTTTCTTTTTCCCTGTGAAAGCCATCAGTTAAGGGGCCGTGTCTAACTAGGAAATATAAATATAAAATAAATAAGTTTGTATTTCCAGTGGCAATGAAAAGATAGAGCAAATGCAGAAAAGAGGTACAGTTAATATGATTTAGTGATTATTGAGTTTAAAAAGCTAGGGGAGAGAAAAAATCTCAGGTCATTCAAAAGTTTCCACATGGGGAACGCTCATGGGAAAGGAGTAGGAAATTGTCAGGTCAACAGAAAAGTGCAAAGAGTCATGGGACAGACTAACAGTTTTCTTTACATATAGAGTTCAATGAAACCCTCCTGTGGGATATTTTCAGTAGGTAATTTGATTACAAGTATTTCTAGCTGGAGATAGAACTCTGGTTGAAGATGTAGGCTTGGAATAATTTCATTATAATTATGAGGCAAAGCCACAGATCTCAATGAGCTTATCCATGATGCAGAAGATGTAGAATAAGAAGAAAGCCATTGACAAAATCCTGGGAGTATCAACATTTCACAGAGTCACAGGACTTGGTAATGGAGACTGAGCAGTGGCTAATGAAAAGTAGGAGAGGAGTCAGAGAAAATGATGTTGCTAATTTCTTTTAAGTGTGAGAATTTCAAGCAGTAAGATTATAACTGAAAAGTCAATTGGATTTAACTTACAAGTTCTGCAGTGGCAGTCTGTTCGAAATAATTATTTTAGAGTTGTTAGGTATACTGTTAATGTTGTTAATATTTCTGGTGTCCAAGAAGAAATCTCCCAAGATCCTACCTAAGTTTTTGCAACTAAAGCAGCATACATACACAGGGTCTGGGAAACTGTCTAGACTGGGGAGCATGTGTGCCAGCGTTTTTCCAGAATTGTCAAAACCTAAGAGTCATGTGTGAGGAAGTGTTCTCTTTTTTATCTGCTTCTTGTAGAAAGTGGAGATCTCATTCTCTCTCTCTTTCTCTCTCTCTCTCTTACACACACACACACACACACATGCACAAGTACAGTAAGATGATCTTCTGTGTCCATGGATTACTCAATATCCATGGATTACTTAATATCCATGGCGGGTATTTTCTAAGACACCCATTGAATGTCTGAAACTGTGGATAGTATGGAACCTTATACATTCATATTTTTTCTATACATGAATATTTCTGATAAAGTTTAATTCATAAATTAGGCACGGTGAGAGACTAACAATAACTCATAATGAAATACAACAATAACAATATATTGTAATCAAAGTTAGGTGAATATGGTCTCTCAAAGTGTCTTGTATTGTACTCACCCTTCTTTTTCATGTGATGACTGTGAGATGTTATAATGCCTATGTGATGAGATGAAGTCAGGTGAAGGAGTTGTCATGTGGTGTTAGGCTACTATTAATTTCTGGCTATCTGACTACACATCAGAAGGAGGATCATCTGCTTCATGTGACAGTGGATCATTGAGCCGTGATAATGTTGATGGTTGGGATTCAGGAACAGATCATTTTGATGACTAATGGGCAGATAGCATATACAAGGAATGATTAATGACCTGGTGAGATGGAACAGGATGTCTTAATATTTCATCATACTCCTTAGAATGACATGTTATTTAGGACTTATGACTTGTATATTTCTGTAATTCCCCATTTAATATTTTTGGACTATGGTTGACCATGAGTAACTGAAATCACAGAAATCAAAGAGACCCAGATTTGCAACTGGTGTGTGAGGGCAGTCTCATGAGACGGAGCCCTCAGTCTGTGAGATCTGAGACTATTTCTAGATAGACAGTGTTGGAATTAGAGGACAACCAGCTGTCTTTTGCTACAGAATTAATGGCTTATTTGTCGGTGGAGAAAATCCTCCACACGTTTGGTCACAGATGTCTTCTGTTTTAATAATTGTGGTGTGAGAGCAGAGGGAAATCATGTTGTGTGTGTTTCTTTCTACACTTAGAGCAAATAAGAGAGACTACAGTATACTCTGTTCAAACTGCTTCTAGTTCATTTGTCCAGGAATTATACTTTCTAAGGTTGATACTGTCCACTTATACTAATTCTGCTAATAATACAGTTTTCTGTCAGTCTTATAGGGTCCTGTTTGGATTACAACTATTTTACACTGTAGTTCACTTGCAGAGATCAAATTGTGATAAATTCTATTTTTCCTTGCATTTGAGAACTATAAAGGAAGGGAAATAAACATTTTTAATGCATTAATTTCCTACCAATAGTATACTTAATAATAATTTTACTATAGTCTCAATGTATGGTCCCAAAGGAATGCTTTATAACAAATCATCTGAGTCTTTGTAACAAAGCGTCAGAGTATTATGCTTTTTAAACCAAGACCTGAATCATACACGAAAGTGTGCATTATTCTTTTAAATTAAGTTAAAGTATCATGATGTCTCCCAGGCTACTTTCAGACTCCTGGGCTCCTCAGATGATCCTCCTGCCTCACCTTCCCAAGTAGCTGGGATTACAGGCATGTGCCATCATGCCCTCTTATGTTTTTAACATTCTGTATTTTTATTTATATTTGTTGATTTAATATATTTTACTTTTTTTTTTCTTCAATAGTGGATGTGAGTTCTGTAGAGCCTATATCCAGGTAAGACTTTGCAGTTTTTTTAAATACATATGTTAACTCAGAGAATATGGAGAAAAGAAACCACTATCTACTGAGTATTCTACTCTGGGTTAGACAACATATTATGTGCTTAATATTTATCATCTCACATAGTCATCACACAGCTTTGCAAAGCATCTGTGCTACTATCACCTACTTTGTATTAATCAGGCAAATGTGATTCAGAGAGGTTGATTAATTGACCTACGATTTCATAGCTAAAAGGTAGCTGACCCTTGAGTTTGCCATCAGCCTACCTTGCTCCCAAATCCCTTCTCTTCCCCCTCAGCATAGATTGATGGATACCTGTGCATCACTAGGATCAAGGCACAGGTCTAGATGGGGTCAATTCAAAAGGTTACATTTTGTCATATGTTAACTCTTTTTAGAGATTTCCCTTAGAACACTGGTTAATCCAAGACTTTGTTATAACATGTTTAACAGTTAAAGTGGTAACCAGTTCCTTGTTTTTATCATCAAAGTTTTTAGAGCAGATCTTACTTAGCTGTGACCACAAGGCATAGGTTTTTATTTCATAAGGAAGACCAGGTAAATCCTATAGATGAATTATTTTACTTTTAGTGGAGAATATCTATATATAGATGTATTATGTTAATAATATTTAGAGGCTATATCTTATAGAATTCTCTATTTACTGACTTCTTAGTTTAGTTTTTCTTCAAAGCAGTACCCTGCCTAGTTGCATGCACTCTTCATTTTTTTCTAGAGTCTTTTCTCTTCTTCCCTGACTTATTTATAATCTTTTCATGATTACTTTCTTCTCTGAATTCCTTGGTGTTCTTTTCTTCTGTAATTTTTTTCCTTTCTGCCAGTCCCATTTTTCTATAGCTAAAATTAAAGCACATGGAATTTTAGGATTTTAAAGACTCTTGGAGACTAATCAAAATACTTTCAATGTAAACCTGTATTTAATATCCTGGAAAAATGGTTGTCAGATGGAGAATCTGAAACTCAAAGTGACTTATTTAAATATACGAGGTATCAGAAGTAATATTTAAACTCATTTCAAAGCCCATTACTCTTGTTTTTATATCACCATGTAAGTGAGTGTTTGAATAATACACAGGAAAGGGAATGGATCTAATTAAACAAATGGAAAATGATAAGAATGGAATTAGCTGGAGAACCCAGTGGAAGTAGGTAACAAGAGAATTAGCAGGGAAAGGCCAAGTCTGAAGAGAAATAATCCCAGGATTGGTAGGAGTAAGGGTTTTACCAAAGAGATCGGAATATTCGATCTTATGACAAGTTTGGTGAAGACAAATTAGAGGAACAAAAACACAGATGACATTGGGAGTTATGTAAAAAGGCATACTAAAATAGGGTTCAAAAGAAGTCCTGAATAGGTTGCTGCTTTTTTGCTTGTTTAATTAGAGGAATGGACAAACTTCAAGCTTTTACTTGAAAGATTAAAAAAAAAAAAAAAAGCCACTGGGAAAAGTCTCCACAATCAGATAGAAATGTCCTATTCTGTTCTTTCACCCCAAATTTCACAGGAGTGGCTTAAAGCCCCTCGAGTGCTAGGGGATTGAAGGTTGCTGAATTACATAGATCTGTGGCTCAAGGAAGGTGTCCCCTCCCCTTTGCCTCTTTTTCCAAGCCTCTAATGTCCTACCCATGTACATGTAAAGCAGGGGTAAGATTGACTGTCAAATAAGTCATGGAGCTTCAGCTGGGTTTTTGGTAACATGCTTATGCTGGAGGTGAATGACTGTCTGAGACTCCATTTAGTTGTTTTTCAGGAACAGGTAAATACAGAGCTTCTTGGTTGGTCATTGAGTTTATCTTTTCAGTAATCTGTGCTTTGATGAGCTGAATATTTAAAGGTTGGAGACTGCCATGAAGCCCTGCAGAAGAAAGATGTGGAAGTGAGAGAAATTTTCACTATATATAGTGACTTCCACTTCCAGATCTTTCTCTCTGTGTA